TAGTATTGTCGCCACTTCCTAAGAGTGTGTTTGAAAATGATAGTGTTTTATACAAAAGTGTCGAGACAGTGAAAACCCACTCATAGTGAAGCTTGTTATTGATATATCGATTTGGAAGACGAAACATATCATAACTGTAAAAAAGCTACATTAAGAATTCCAAGTTCAAATTCGAGCTATAACGGAAATTATACGGTCCATGACCGTATATTTCATTATAACTTTAATTACGGAACATTCTGAAACTTTAAGTGAAATTAACACATAAATAAACTACATACGCAATATTACGTATTTACTTTAACGCTGTATTACTTTCTTGTAACGATACGGTTGTGTAAATCAGGTGACGCGGTGTCACATCACGGAACAAGTCCGGCAGTTCTAAATCAAATTACGTTTCCGAAGTTCTGAATGTGTAAAGTGACTTAGAAATGAACTTCCTTTTATGCTATTCTAATGTAAACCAACTCATGTTTATGACGGCGCGACTGGCCGGTCAAGCAGATAGAGCGAAACAATGATTAAAACGTCCTAATTGTGATACGGTGACGAAACCGGTATCGTCGTGACCCAGAACCAGGAGGGAACAGTGTTAGAGAATTACACTATAGAAAAAGGAAATATGTTGGTTTTATATACCAATTGAAATTGTGCAAATCAACGCCCAGGTATATTAGAATAAATGCCATTTTGACAAATGGAGAAAAGTCTTGCTCGTAATTGAAGAAAAAATCTACATAGATAATATCGATGTACAAAAAGTTGAGGTATACAAAAAACGTGGGAAAACAAAAGATGTCTATAAACTTGAATATTTTATTCAATGCGTAACACCTAGTATTTGAGTTAAGCTTTAAAACTAAGAATACCTAGGTGTAATGACCTTGTTATCTGCTGTAGCTACACCAATCGAAGCTATTCTAGGTATTAACACGTCACTTGAGACAGACTAGTCTTGATTATTAGAGCTTCCCACTTTCGCCTTTGCCTGCACCGTGGTTGGATAACAAACGGGGTTGGCAACACACAGATTAATATAAACACTTATATTTGATGCCGCGGTCTGCGCTGGCGCACACCTAACAGAGTTACTCAACATGGATGTTGCATTTGTGTGATTCTTCTCATAGATCAACTTTCGTTTTGACCCGCATTGGAGTAAGCCTAGATGATAATTATAGTTGCTATAAATAACAAACTACACAAAAAAATTAATCTCACATTACATAACCATGAGAAATAAGATCAAGTTTCTTATCAAAACTTCTTACAAATGTGAAAAGCATAATGTGGGTTTCCACTGATTAAACGCTTGTATAAAAATAGTGTTATTCCTACCATAAAAAACAATGTACCACAGTATCACGATTGGTGCATATCAAAATACGATTTAAAACAACACATTACGATATATCTATACATATAAATAAAATTGGAGTATCTGTATGTAATTACCATATAAAATTCTCTACGTGTATATAGTCTTTGTATACTATCTATGTCCGATGTTAAATGAATGCACGGAAAGTTACAAATATATTTTTGGGTGTACGGTGCGTGCATGTAGCGTTGTCTCGCAATAAATGTTACGCACGCAGACAGCACGATGACTCATCGGAATCTTTTGAATGTAAACATGCACTAAACTGCACTTCCTCACATTAAGAGCAGCCATTTAAGGTCAAGTCATATTCTTACTTAAATAACACATTATATTTGACCTGCTTTGAACAAAAACATTTTTTCATTGATAATATTACATCAAAGGTCCCTGCGCAATAAGTAGATTCGCCTGTCAACGAAGAATTAAAAAAGTAGCATCAACTACGTTCCCTTCTCAAACTGTAGAGCTTTTCCGTAAATTCCCGAAATAGCGCTGCCCTGCCGACATAGCCACAGACAAAATAATAACTTGTTTTTTCGTTACCAGCAAGGCAAATTAAAATTTCATTCAATAACAAAAATATGGAAACTTTCGTGAGACATTTTATCAACTACTTAAAAACCGGCAAATTTCATGTTTTACGGTCCAGTGCGACTATTTGCATAAAAGTAATTTAATATTATAAAAAGTTTTCATTTACTAAATTATTTACCAATGCTACATTATATAACTTAATAATGATCCTTGCATTAATGATTTTTAGTAATCTAGAACACATTGGCCGCTGTTATGAAATTAATAAATTCATGTATTACATAACACATTGTACATTTGTATTTTTATAATCTGCTATTGAATATATCATCATATATCATCGAGGATTTCATTATGTGTATAACGTTATATGTCATCAAGGTCTTGTCAAAATATATCTACATCATATGTAAAGCTGAATGGGAACCTTCTTCCTGCATATCGTCGCACTTCTGAATTAGAAGGATAGTGTACTAAAGAGCTCAAGTCCAGATAAGTTTTTGTGTCGGAACTCAGAGTAATAGGCGGCGATATTAATGATAGTTACCCTGAGACATTTGACCTTTAAAGAGTAGGGAATCTGCGATTTGTGTTCAGTTATATAACATGTTGAATGAAATTTTACATTCACAATTTAAGAAATATAAAATTATCCGTGTGATTATGTCTACTGTAGATCACTGTTATGAATTTGTTTGGCTATTAATATGCCAGTAATTTAGTTAGCCATCAATTTTGTTTCGAAACTATAATCGTCCGTCATTGCGTAGCGTTGAACCACAGCCGGGCCGGCTTACTTTCTAGACAAAATAAGTCAAAGTGAAGGGCTACTACTACGCATTACAAAAAGCTTGTACGAAAAGTTTTAATTCATTAATTATAATTATTACTACAGATTAGTGAAATAATTTGTTATTTTATGTATAAAATCTACACTTTAAAAATGGTATGTTATGTGCATTTTATTTTGGCGCAACGTGTTTAACTGTGGTAGTCCAAACTTATAATATACCGGTTTAAAGTAAAACGAAAGTTTATTTCCCTTAAAAAATACGAATTCCTATAGCCGATTTAATTACTTTTTCCTTTCAAGGTAAACAAATTACCCATATCTTGTTCAATCCTTTAATATTAAATAAGTATATTGATCAAACTATTTTTTTTTTTCGAAAATTTCATAAAAAAACAATGATTATGAAAAATATTTGTAAAGTGTTAATCAGTGCTTGAAATTAACAACGCTCTTGTTATAAAATTATAAATGTTAAATTATACAATACCAACATAATTAATTATATGAAAATTTTGATATTTTTATTATATAAAAGCAAACGCCTTCATTAAACCAACAAAACGAAAGTAAGTATTTGTATACTGTTATTTTATTTAACTCTTTGACGTAATTAAAATAGTAATTAATTTATGAATTTTATAGTATTTTTTTTATCTTTTTTGGACCTTTCGAGCCTTATCTCTCTTAAAAGGTCGAAATTTCAAGGGTAAAACCATTTTGTTGATTTATCTTTTATAATTGATTTCATAACCCATTTTATCGGTAATGACGTAACATTTTCCTCAACGAAGTGTGCACAAGAAAAATTGAACATAACTCGACCTCGTATATCCGGCACTACGGAATTATGATTGGAGAAAAAACTTTTAAAACTTATGACGAATTAAAGGTTGCCATAATAAAAAAAAATGAAGACGCAGTAAACATTTAGCAGATGATGAGTAAAGACACACATTCATGGGGCAGTTGAGAGCGATCACCAATATTGCTGTGAAAAATATATTATAAATAAAATAAATAGAAAATAGTTTTATAAGAGGGCATACTGGTGACACAGTAAATGCTGTAAAAGAAAATTAAAAAACATTAGTAATGTACAAAATTTGAGAAATAAATTATTTACGGAGTTCGTAAAATACGGCCATGTCTGGCGAATGCTAGGTTAATAGCAATTATGGCTTTGAAATGACTGATGTTTACCAATGACTAAATTAGTGTTAACAGGTGATAGTTGTCGGACATATTAGTATTGCATCCATAGACCTTTGTCAAATCCATAATGCAAAACTCGGCGCGGAAAGGCGTTAGCGACACGCATAAATTTTTCCATTCAAGCGAAATTCGATGTCAGTCGATGATAGACTAGCTTAAGTGATTTCAAAATAGGGATTATTATAATATTCATGACAATATGAAAAATTAAAACGACATGTGTATACAGACTTTACAGAGTTTACAAACTTAATATTAGATGCAGCGGCAATAACAAAAGCCTTTGTTATCATGGTAACCGATAATAATACTTCTTACACTTCGCATTACCAGTTCACATTAAAAATTATTTGCCCATCTTTTGTGGTTTAGCTAAAACTATTACAGAGAAAAATTTAATATATAGACCCACAAAAATAATAAAAGGTCTCTATTATTCAAATATCCTTCAATAATAACTGATTTAGACCTTCTGCTAAACAACCAGCCGCGTTTGATTGCCATTTCAATAGAAGTCATGTAAGTGTATATTTCCATTAGCACGGTCGCGCGTCTAGTAGCTTAGTGGAAAAAATTTGTTAGAAAAAAATCGTAACCGCCCTCACCTGTCCATACAATAATGACTAGTTGTACAGCAACTTGTCATTTCTTCACTAAAACAGTGCCGTAACAAAAACACTACGCAGAATATTAATAGAATTAGAGAAAAAACAATTTCACATTCTCAACGTGAACCCGATGTCACGATTGAGGAATCCGACGAGCAATAAAATTACATCGGTACAGCACAAACCTATTGGATTTTGTCAACATTAGGCAAACAATGTAGGTAAATTGATATGCTTATCACGAATATATCACTATTGTTCATAGTACAGCTAAAAATTTAAAAGCATTGAAAGTAACCTTTATGCACTTTCGTAAAAGAGAGAAATGTATTTACTTCTTATCATTTCATACTACTACATTTTACATATTACATACTCAAATTAATTGAAATTAGGTACAAACAGACATGCAGTTATATTTAAATAACTTGTATAGTAAGTCTATTTAAGATAGATTACTTTGACAATCCTTTGTTTCGCGATATTTTTAACAATTTTAATGCTAAAGTAAATCAAAATATCTAATTAATTATAGCTTCAACGGCGAAAACTTACTTACAATCTGTTCTTTCATTGCAAAAAACAATTTAGGATACCTTCGCATCATATTTCTAAATGCATTCTTATCTAAGAAAAGAAGCTGAAAAAAAAACAAATGAATAATATGTTGAAAAAATAAATTGTTATGAAAGCAGAAAGTCAATTACAAATAAAAAAGATTACCTTGCATGAAATCATTGCAACGACGGACGGCGACGCATAAGACTCGTCCGTTACTAAAGATATTTCGCCAAAATAATCCCCATCAATGAGATACTGAGTATTATTGTCCACCGAGGAACGAACTGCCAATACTCCAACGTCGACAATAATTAGGCCATCGCTTGAAAGAGATGCCTTAAAACAAAATATTTATATAATATATAAAATCGTATTCTTTCATTGGATGTTCCTTCCTAAAGAAAATGTTTGGAGTAATCATCTTAGTGTTAGATTTATCGATAATTATTATATTCAATATATTAAAGATTTCATTGTTAATTATAAAGACTTACCTCGACCACAACGTCACTTTCTAAATACACCTCTTCAATCAATAATAATACTATTTCTTCAATCAAGTTTTGGGGAAAATCATAAAAATAGGGTATCCTAGACATGTACTTTCCATAAGAACTTATGATGATTTCTTTTTTTAATGATGCAGGAATTGCATGAAAGCAACCATTTTGTTTCTCTGTTATAGTCAGTTTAGTCATATTGAAATTATGATACTTGAGAACTTTTTGACAGAAATCGTCAGATAACTGACGCCAACGCAGTAAGTTAACGATTCTGTATTTATTCATAATCATTTGCTCTTGGGGATATTTGATACGACTGAGACAACCATGACACTCGATTAGGTTCCACAAGTAAAAAACATTGGCTAATATAAAGGAAATGAGTGAAGCCATTTTATCCCAATAATAGATCTGAGGTTTCAACCCAAAACTAAACAACAAGAATGATTTTAATACCCGAGCTAGCTCCAGGGTATAGAAAAGTACATTAGGTAGGGGATATCTTTCATCATATCTAAATTTAACAACGGAAAGAAAATAGGAGGAAGGATCTATTTTTCCATTATGCATTACGGCTAGAAGAGAAATGGTGTCAACCAATTTAACAACTAGAAGCATGGTACTTAGACCTAAAACAGCGATGCGTAGAAATTTAAAGAAGTACATAGCACGAAAAGAACTACGTTCTCTATTCCAATAATTAGCTGCATCATATAATCGATAAAGGCGTACAATACCTACAAGCCTCAAAGTATATACGAACGTGTTACATTTACAAAGGCTACAACTAATATTTTTGCCGTATTTAAGAAACATTATAGACTGGAGTGGTAATGACGAGACAAAATGAAGAAATAACTTTGTTGAGCAATAATTCAATATTGACTTCTTAACGTCTAAGTTAATGCTTCTATCTTCTTTAACAATGTAGCCAGTCAACATGTTCACAAATAAATCCGTTAGGATAATTGCTTCACAGATTACTCCAATAAAATAAATTTCCCATGTTAGTTCTCCATATAAGATTGAAGTACTATGATGAAATAGTGCTTTGCTCAATAGATCTGAACTCAATAGAAGGCATTCCCAAAAATTCCTGCAAATTAATATATTTTGTATCGACGTTTCATAAGTTATTAGAATGAAAAAATCTGCATATTTTTTAAATGTGACAATACAAATATATATGGGTTGGTGTAGGTACTGCTCCTGAGATTTCAACATTACCCACATGTTCAAATACGAGATGTGCATTTGTATTTCAATCGCTTATTAAATCGCTCCATTGTTGAAAATTAGTATTTTACTTAGTAGTTAGTAGAACTTAGTAGTTCCATACCTGAATTTACTAAACGGGTGAATGCTTGCCCTATGATATCGAAATTGTTTCATCCTTTCCATTCGCATAGAATGAGAGCTTCTATAATAACTTCTAGATCGTTCATCACTGTAGGAAAGTAGAAACAAATCACTCCACCAACGTCTCAGGCGTGTCCACCAATAAAAATTATTTTCTTGAATGTCCACATCCAAAACATCTTTATCATAATCTATTGAACATGCATGGTCATAATAGGACTCTCCATACGAGTTTACGATTTTCTTATACATTTTTGGATAGCTAATTATAAACTTTCCAAAATTTGGGAAACTGCTCCTGCCTTCTGCAATGTAGTGTCACTGTGACGCAAAATGTAAATGAAAAAAATACTAACTTAATAATAACTTATTATTGACCAGCTATTATTGACAATTCTTCAATATGAAAACAAACACTGCAGTGGTATAAAATTAACCTAATTTTTCTAAGGAAGTTTGTTTATAAGCGTACTGCGGAAAATATTTGTATCGTATAGTCGTACCAGTGAGCATTATACTTTCTGCGAATACAAGTTTTGTCGTGCGTCGTCGTAAAAGTGTAGACTTTCTGCAAATTTCCTGCTCCTAGCTCCTGGGCTCCTGGTTCCTATTCCTGGCCGTTGTTAAAACCAAAGAGCATACAAGATAAAAGTTTTTTTTATTTACTCTATGACAGATGGCGACGCGAAGCGAAGAAAAGAGACAATTGTGCGACGAAATCGGCCATTGTAGTTGCGTCGCGAATGTGTTTTTGTTTAATATAAATGTATCCCATTGTCTAAGATGCCTAAAAATATTACAAGTGAGGTCCGTGAAATAATCCTTAAGGTTAAAGAGTTCATGGACGAAGAGAAACGAATGCAAGCTCCAATAATTCCGCTTAGTAAAGTGTACGTCAGAGTTTCAGCCGCCACAGGTTAGCGCTTTCATGAGGAAAATAGCTTGTTTTAATAGTTTGTAAACAGATATCTTTAACATATACTTAGTTGCCATCCTTTCTATCAAAAATTTCGTTGTATTTAATTTAGTCATACATTATCAACCTCAATCAAAAGCTGCAGTTATTTTAAAAGAAACTAAATTCTCTCGTTCCCTTATTTTAACAAAGATTAATTTATTGATTTGAACCAATATAACAAAAAGTGACGAACAAAATTAATGATGATGAGCAAAATCAATAAGAGTTTTGCAGAATCTCTCTGTTACCTCTGCCTGCCTCACGGTGGATCAGTGCGTTAGAGTAGAGTAGAGTAATCATAATAATTAACATGAATTATTTGTAAACAATCTACCCCACCAACGAAAGGAGTAACATCTTTCACCAGAGGGGTTGTATTGTATAGATATTAGATAAACATTTTTATTTCATTTTAGGTGTTTCTGAGCGTACAGTACTAAACATTGTAAAGGAAGCTAGATTAGTTGAACAGGGTCTCCTAGATCCTGAAACTTTGAGAAAGACCCCAAAGAAAAGAGTACGGACTAAAGGAAAAATTGAGGTGGATGAATATGATTTGCAAGTGATTAGGAGAAAAATTCATGAGTTTTATGCATTCAAGAAAGAAGTACCAACAATTAATAAACTGTTGCAAATACTAAAAGAAGAAATCAATTTCAAGGGTTCTAGAGAAACACTTCGAAAAATTTTACGTAAAAATGGATTTCAGTTCAGAAAATCGAAACATGTCAAAGATAAGGAACCTGCAATGGCATCAACATCAACAGTTCCTCCATACATTCATACAATGTTTAGTCATAAGCCGTAAACCCTTCATGTATTATACTTTAGAATCAAGTTACTTCAGTGGTAGCTAAATCTATATTACATTATTTTAAAATCTTATTTTGTAAGTGTATTGATTTAAAAGTAGATCTTAATTGTTAATTGAAGAACTTGAAAAAGTAATGTTCTTTATTTTATTTAGTGAGACAATAAGTGAGGCCTACCATACCAGTATATAAATTTTTACTTCTTAAAAGGTTGTAAGTAGGTACATTGCAAGCACAGGAGTACAGATTTGTTTTATTTTAAGATGTATTGATAAATTAAATCTGAGATGCAGGTTATCATTTTATAGAAAATATTGTAGTGCCTATTTTTTAAGCTTCAATTATTTCAGTGTCCTATACTTAGATCTGTTTTTTAAAAGATTTGTAGGTTCAATAAACTATTTGTTCTTTTTGACCTTTCCTATGTATAATGTTACATATTATATAGGGTCAATTTTTTTATGTAAATAATGATAATACATATTTATATTATACATATGCGAATATCAAAATATTTGACTGATATCTTTAATTTGTGCTAAGAACCATAAGTATATGACAGTTTGCCTGTAGGTATCTTAGACCAAAATCCGTGTTTAAAACATAATGTTCTCTGTTTGACGAAGATAATGATAATATTGTAGAAACAAAGATTTTGGTCTCAGAAAACGGTGAATGTGATTAAACAAAAATTTATACATAAAATTTTTAACAGTATTTTAAATTATTTCTAACTAATGATACATAATGGTTTTATTATGAGTATAAGTAAGCAATGACATGTAAATTTAGAGAATATTAAAAGTTTGCATTTTGTAAATATGTTTTATTTCTAATCTACAATACCTAATTTCTTTTCAATTAGTTGAGTCAAGATGGAAATAGTCATTGGATGACTAGAGCAATAAATGTATTGAATAGCCTTTTTGTCATTTAGTAGTAAGGACAAGTCCGTAAACTAAAAATAAATTAATAACTCGGTTCATTTTAAAGTGACACATCAATTTGTCAACGATTGATGTCATTGGCTTAGGCAGCCATTGTGGTAATTGTAAGGATGGTTTATGTCAAGTAATAGTTACCTTTCTAGTTGTTATACCAATTTGTAGATGTATGCAGCCTTTATTATACAGGAACCAAAGAACTAACTAACTAACGCTAAAATGACAACATGAATAAAATGGAATGAAAATAAAAAATAATTCGTTGACACACATTTATTTTAGAAGCAATATTTAACATGAATATTGAATTGACCATCATTCTAGTTTAATAGACTAGAAATAAAGAAGTAATTAGTAAGCATTACAAAATTGTAATGGAAAACATGAATGTCTTTCAAATAAGTGAAATATGAAAGTTGAAGCACATTATCTATTTATTTTATAACATACACAAAGCTTTCTAAAAGTTATAAATTTAAGACCTAGAAGAGTGATTTAAATAATCCATACATGTCCCCTTCTAAACATACAATTATACATTTTTTCTTATTGCAATTCCGTAAATGAACACAATTATACTAAATGCTACTCATTACAACATATACATATATTTCAAATAAAAATACATCTTTACTCTTAACTATTCGATAGGTACTTAAAACATTAACCACCTATCTCCAATAATTTACAAATATCAAAAATAATAGTGCAACATATAATAGCTTAATTTAAAACATTTTCTATATAATCTTAACATTGAAAAACTTCTATTAAAATAAAGCAACAATTTACTCACAATTATATTAATAATTTACTAACAATATTTAGGCAGGCAAATTTATTGCGCTCTTAATAGTCAACTTACATTCAAAGTAATTACAACATCGATCTTTGTTTAAATGGCCTACTCTGAAGATTTTCAGCTTATCATTCAAGTTTAGTCATAGACACCATAGAAATCTCTCATTTATTAAGGACGCATCATTTTATATCATAATCATTAATTATGATATGTTTATGAACATTGCTTTCGAAATACTAACAATGAAATAAAACATATTTTTATGACAATTCTAATTTAAAACGTGCGCACTTATCCTACTCTAATTTGTGGGTATCATTATTTAGTTATCTGAAATTGCATTATTTCGATTTAAAAATTTAAATTTAACATATAAAATTATAACATAATTTTTTTTTCTATGAAAAACAAGGAAAACCAATCAGACAAAGCAATTATGACGCTTTAAGGAGTTTGACGTTAAATCGAGTGACGTTATGTGGAGTTTACACTATATATATTAAAATTATTTGCCAAATTAAACAATTATAACTAAATATTAATTAGAATACATATTTATAAATATTATGTTTTCATGGTACATAAATTAGCCCTATCAGCAATTTAAATATACTTTTTAAATATTATTAGCCCCAAAAATATATTAAGTTAACAAATAGAAAAACTTTATGAACATACATTCTGCACAACATTAAACATTTTAACATAACTCCTGAAACCCTTTTTATATCAAATAATATTTATATGGAATTACAATTGAACATAAAGCAATAACTGAACTATTTTTCAGCAATAGTTCTCCACTGTTTTAAATATATATTGTTTTATTCTGTCTAGAGGGCGATAATTTATTAGGTTAAGATTTAACATAATTAATATTAAGGTATCTTTATGACCTAAATATTGTATTATAATATACTTTGCCTTAATAAAAATTGGCTAACAAGAACACCATAGGATACATCAAAGTTCCAACTTCTAATAAAATTGAAAATTTACACATATAAGGCATACAAAGTGTTTTAATTTAAAATATACACTGAACAATACTTAATAATAAGTAATAGTGCACATACTTAAGAATACATCTAAAGCAAATGATTTTATGAAACATCTTAATATTTTATAATATAAATGCATAATATTTTTAAATATTAATAATTGAAATTCAGATAAAAGACGGGGGATAAATGTAAGTGATATTTATCCCCAAAAATTCTAATCTTATTTAACACAACTCATCTTCATCATCAGTTTTCTTATCTTCATATGTATAGTCAGCCTTATTGTCATCAGATTTTGCCTGCAAATAACATTAAATACAAAATTTCTATGGTGGTCACACTAAGACAGACATGAGTATAATATATGTCTGCTTTCTATCTGATGAGTGTAGAGTTGAAAGCGTAATTATGTCTATGTACATATCATATTTTTCAGTATTCAATATTAAATTATGTTTTATCATCATCATCAGCTTAAACTTGTCCACTGCTGGACGTAGGCCTCTTATCTTTTATACTACTTTAAATTAATATATTTCCCCGATGACAAAGATAAGGCTAAATAATAAATAAATTTGATATTTACCTGCATGTATGAAGCATTCGGGCTGACATATGATGGTGCCGCATTCTCCCGGACTGCAGCTTTAGGCGGAGGCTCGATTCCTTCAGGTAGCGGTATTGAGGCTGCCAAACGAGCATACTCTACATCCATGCTACGTATAAATGGAGATGCTAGAGCCCTTTTAGCCGAGTCCCTGTCTTCTTCATCATAAGCTTGGAGCAACTGCTCAATAGTTTGCATTTCAGGTGCTTCACAGTTGTTACCCCATTCCTGGTAAAATAATTTTATAGACAAAAAGACAATTAGTTCTTAAAAGGATCAGTATAATAAAATTACATGCATACACAGTACAGATAACATTAGAATTGTATAAAGAACTTGTTCTCCTATCCAAAATAAATCACAAGTATAACCTGACCAGGAAAATAGAAACCCTGTTATAGGGGATGTGGCCTATATTTCTGGTCAAGTTATGGTAATTAAACTTCATTACTTTATAAGCTTTTTCTGCAGCTACTGCATCTCCTCTAGCCAGTTGCACCAGCACAATGGCAACGGTAAGGCGGCCCACAGCTCCAATGTTACCAGCCTCCTGATGGAAACCAATCTCCCTGCGAAGACTGTCCACTGCTTCGTCGTATCTTTAAAATAAAAATACCTGTTAACGTACCCACATTTAAAACTCTATAACTATCACACAATAGTAATATAAAACAAATGAAACATTACCTTTGCAATTTGACTAATATCCTTGATGATTTACTAATGTATTCAGATCCTTGATGTTGACTGCTTTCAGTCTGAAATATAAGTAAGTGAATGAAATTGTTGAACAAAGCAAGCAATTAACTTTTTCTTTTTCTCACTATTCAACTTTGATGTACATTTCAATATCTTTAATTTTTTTTTATGCACCAAATGCACTTAAAACATAATATTATTAAGAATTTTGCATTAATACTTACAGATGACACATCAGCTGCCTGTTGGTACAACTTTACGGCTTTCTCAGGCGACTTCTCCTCGATAATCTTGGCTGCTTTGTCAAGGACATTAGCTCCTGAGTCACCTGAACCATGTTGCTGGTAAAGACTGCTAGAATCGCATGCCAAAGTGAAAATCTAAAAGATTTTGAATATTTAGAATCAGTTAGTAAAATTGTAATCATATTTATAAGTTTCTCATTCATTTAAGTGTTGTAAGTAAATACCTCATCTGGAGATGAAATTTCTTTACTGACAATAATTGCATTCTCAAGGGCTTTTCCGGCATGGAAAAAGGAATGGTTTTTCTTGTACATCTCTGAAGCCTTAATATAGCAATCTTTGGATTTCTTCAAATCACGTGCAATGCGGTAGCATTGGGCTAGAAAATGTATTATTTAGTTACATTAAAGCAAAAGTAAATAAAATAATGAATATTTATAACAATTCTGAATGTTTTTTATTACTGTGAAACTCCACTGCTATGATACTAGACACATTTTTGTCTTTGTTTATAGGAAGATATTAATCTAAGTGTAACAGAAATGGGTCACATCTCTAATGGAATAAACATATAAGATTCTTTATGGATTGAAATGTAACATTTCTTACCTGCTTGACTATATTCATCTGCTGCTGAATCATAATCTGGCTTCCATCGCAGCAGTGAAGTTTTCAAACTGAAACATTACACAGTATTAAAACCAATATCTTTACTAAAATTTCATTATAGCTCAGGAACATAGGCAATATCACCACTATAATTTTCTTTCAACTTCGCGCGACGAAGAATTGTTAAAGAATTTAAGATATACATAAAAAATCATTAGCCAGTCACGCATATAGCCAGCAACATAAAAAAAATCTTTTCGGATAATACATACCTATTTTGCTGATAGAAAGGATTAGCAAAATAGGAACAACTATTTATTAACATTCGCAACAATTTAAGAATTGCAGATATCTTCTCTATAACCCATCTTCTTTGCAATACAACGTAATAAGGGTGAACAATATCGCACTTATAAAAAAAGAGCTTCGCAGCCAAATTGAACCTAGAATTCATACTGGATCCCTTGTATTTAAAATGGATATCAATACTTACAACTTTTCTGCAGCCTTGCAATGTTCTTGGGCTTCATTCAATTTCGCCGACATTTTTGTGCAGATATCGTTTGCCGCTCAATTTCCCAACAGAATGCAGCAGCAGCAGCAAGATTATGTATTATGAATACCAAAAAATCAATACCAAACTAGACTTTTCGTTTGACAATTTTGACGTTTTCGAATTCAAAGTTGTCGGAACATGTGTCATTAATTTTACAGAATATAAAACAGTACAGATTATAACCAAACTAATGTCTGTAAAATTTTTACACACAAATATATTTTTTTGATCTAGGAGAAAGTGGTAGCCATATATGTAATTCAAAATAACAGTTTGATTTTTGTCCACTCATATCAGTTTACACTGTCTTGCAACATGCAATGTATCCAACATTCCACTAAATAAATACTGTTGTTGTTAAGTTGAAACTGGATAAGCGAGAGTCATTGTCCGGTCCTGACATACGAGCTCCATGACCAAGACATTTAGGGTAATGAAATACCCGAAAGATATATAAATGAAAAAAATAACACGGTCCTTTGTACTCTAACTTATCCAGATTCGACTGTATATAAAATGTTGTTCTTCTAATATTCCTTAAGCTTAAGAGGGAAGGCACAAGAATATATTACATTCAAGAGTTTCGACATTGAAAACCCACAATAAATGGATATCACACATGTTGGACCGTAGCTCCTTTAAATAAAAATTTAATTAAAAATAATTTAAACTAAAAATTAAAAAAGCGATAAAAAAGTTATTACGTCAATCACTCATTTAAAAAGTTTTTCTTTTTTAAATTATAAATTCACGATTCTTTCATATTAACTATAATTTATTTTATTTAAGTTATTTATCAATAAACATTAAATTAAATGAAGTAATATTATTAAAGAAGAAAATAAATTTAAGTTTATCGTTCGTACATTTAACTTTAAGGGTGTCGACAATCAGATATATCGTTATTCGTTATCACACGTGCTCGCAAATATTTGCGTAAAAGCGGATAAAAATGATTATCCATGCAATTAACCTAGGGTGTGGAAAGAAGTAAGGTGAAATAGAAGTATGTCATGCCTTCTTAATTGACCCCCAATTTATCATCACATACACATAAAAAAATAACTTAAATGTGTGTAGGTACTGTTCATAATACATTGACGATTTTATTTCTACGCAACTAACTTTCGACTATTTTACCATATAGGCTTTAAAAATTAAACGTAACATAAAAATAAGTTTCGAGTACAGTGGTAAATAACATAATAAAATTAAAAATGTAGTAATATCACTCTTTACCTTTAGCTTTATCACTTGATTAAAAATGAAAGAAAAATTACTCACAATTTCCTATTCAAATTTCAGCAAACAGATTAAATTAAAATCAATTTGCTGAAAGTTGCACTCTATTAAAGCACGTTATTATATCACATTGACCTACAGACTTGATTTTCAACAAACACGTGTTGCGTAAATCTCCCCTAACAAACTTTAAAGTTCTTACCCCTCACTAAAGCTTCTGCAGAAAGCGACATTTTAAACTGAAACATTCTACTTTGCTGTTGCTATGCTCGTTTGTTGTGTGAAATAGGAAAATATTTATTCGGATACCTCGCGATTCAGTACTGACCCGGACCTTGAGGTCAGAAAAAATATTTCTCAATTTTCAAAATACCTATAATTTTTTCTCTTATGGTTTATTTGCAAGAATATATATATGTGAAACCATTTTGATTTTGTAATTGAAAAGGCATAGCTATGAAGACATTTTCCACTTTTTTAAATTTTGATCAAAAAATGCATGATTTCTTCTGAATGCTTCGGCATATTGGGAAATAATTTCATATTTTAACAAAGATGAAAAAACGAGAATGATGGCGCGAAAAAATCTTAGGTTAGGACGATATTGCTAGAGATGTTTTTGCAGAAAATGTCTTAAAGAAAAGTGGTATTTTATTAAGTTATTATAACATTTTAATCTTGTGAGATAATCCCGACTATCGACATATTGTGAACTAAAGTAATTGATTATTATTATCAAAAATCGTTGCTTATTTTTCACAGATCTATATATCATTGCCAGTTTTCCGGGCGTAACGTCAAAATTCTAACCAAGAGATCAGTCCACAATTTGCATTTACTATAATATATAATAGTGAGATTATAAACTAACGAAGTTTCAAATGTGACGGTGACATAAACATTTAGTGTGTTGGAATAGGGAGTTTGAGGGCGCAGCGCAGGTGTGGCTCGTGAGAAATCTCACCCCTGCCTAGGTATTTAGCAGGCGGAGGGCTATTCGCATTGCTATACTGACTTGTTCCCACGGCAAGCCGGAGTGGCCGCTACGCATAATCACGTAAGGGCGGAGTGATTTGATTTTCAAAAATAATAATCTTAATACAGGTTTAATTCTTTAAATCATTTTGTAAGTTTCTAGACATTTTGCTTAATTCTTTGTGAATTGCAACATGTAACTTCTTATTCGTGGGTTTCGAGTGCGTACTTTGACACATATTGCTATTTCTCATATTTTCCATGAAATAGCAGAAACAACAATACATGAGTCTTGTCAGTCCAAACCGACAGTAAGATTTTTCACTAAATTCCGACATGATATTTGATACGTATTTTAATATTGAAACTGATTTATTTTTCTAATAATAACATATAAGGTGAAAGTACGCCCGGAAAAGATTTTCCCTTCAAAAATTGCGTCTTGTCTCTTTTCATACACTGGCTGTCTCTTTTAGTCTACTAGATGTGTGTTTTGTTTTACTTTTATACTATTAGTCAACGGTATCGTAATTGAGTCAAAAGCGCCAACGATCACTGTTCGCAATTACAAAAATTATTTTCAGTTTTCAGCATTCATATAGCCTAGCATTCTACCGCAGCTTGTCCCAGATGAACGGAGTCAATTAAACAAATAAAAATAACTATAAGCATCCTACTTAGTGATATTTGAGATATGTATGTAGCCCGATAAAGATGTATGGAAGAGAAGAACATACTGTACCTAGCTTCCATAGCGTAAAGGGCAGGTTTGTGACGAAGAACCTACTTACTGAAAGGACTGCTTTCTCTACATGAAAGGAAGTTGAATTAAGTGAAAACACTGAAACAGTTTAAAAAAAATCTATAAAGTCATCCTTTCGATTTGTATGTATTTTATTTCATAAAATGCTTCTCATTAATTATCTCGTATAGAAACTGACTCACAATAAAGAAGAGTGATGTAACGGTATGGATGCAAAATAATAATAAGTTAATCCGTAGGAGAGGTGGAAAGTTGCATTGAGAGTCGAAGCACAATTAACTCTACCTTTGCCGATAGAGCGCGGACCCCCACACCGCACCGCCTTTAGTGGCCAGGTGCCACCCGTGAGAATCTCACGAATTGTTATGTAGGGGGACACCTATTGATAATTGTACAACTATAGTTTAAAACTATTTCATAAGTAGTAAATTTATCTATAAGTTGTCCGTCCACTTTATCGTTTCAAAGAATATTTAATTACATTTTGTCTCACACCAAAGAAACGTGAAAAGCTCGACATATAGTCAATAATATTTACAATCGTATAATTTTCCTACATTCAATTAATTTAATTAATATTGCAAAACATTCAATGCAGCAAGCAATAAAAAAATCGTAAATGTCTGAGAATGCCAACTTATAAATAAGTTAAATTAATTAATTTCAATCTTAATTATAATCATAATAATAGTCAAAATGTCAGTAGTTTTTCCGATTGCAGAATTTTTCTCGGCATAAAGTCTTAATAAAAATGTGCTGCCAACGAGACATTACGAAAGCTTGTTAGATAAAGGTATTAATTACCAATTATAGGTAAATGTTATTCAAAGAGAAAAATTCTTTTATCGGATGAAGTAACTTGTCTCGTTACGATAAGATTACCGATGAATAATTGTCAATAACATTTCTTTACACATGTATCCTTTAAATTAATTCAACTCATTGCTAACACGCGCATATATCGAATGCCTCCATACTTTTCCTGATTGTCTTCTTAAATGGTCAATTGCATCCATATAGAGAAATAGGCTAGATGTAGCATTTTAGCAGGAAGACGCGCAAATTTGTTTTAAGGTTACAACAACAAAAATTTTGAATCTCTACCAATCACCTCTAGCATTCAAGTTAACGGGCTGATTGTAGCGGAGGGCCGGTCATATCTGTCGACGTAATTGTAACAATACGATAAAGGATAATCCTGAAATGATAATATTTTATAATATAAGCTAGAGATGCTCTTTTCAGGTAGGTTCGATTGCGCGTAGTCTATTATTGATATGGTATAAATCGTTGGGTCAGGCCTGTCCATTTGGCTATATCAGCTACTTGGACGCCCGATTTATCCTCCGTAGGCTCTATAATCTCTACCAAAATATCGTTTCTTAATTCACACTTATAATGCACATATCGTCTTTCGCCATACGATTATGATTAAGAAATATCACTCTAGTAGGGAACGTAAGTAAAAATAAGTTGTAAGAGTAGGTACTTAGGTATTTTACTTAGAAAAATCCCGAACATATCTAAGCGTAAACTTTTTAAAGTACTAGGAAGCCATAGAGACTACCTAAACTTATCGTCAAATCGGTCAAATCCTAATCAAATATTTCCAACATCTAATATTTTATTTAATAAGATATTAAATCATTTTATATTTAATTCAGCACATAAATTTTGTACTAAAGGTAAGAATTTTCCGCTAGAAAATATTCAAAAGTCAGTTAAATCAAAAAAACATTTCATAAAGATTTTTTTCACCGCCTACTATAGTTTAATTTTAATAAATATTATTAAATGATAATTCTGAATATAGTACAAAATGTTCATCTTATTTGTTATAAGCAAAAACCTTTATCAGCAAGAAAAATAATAGGATATGATGAAGTGGGCGTACCGTGTGAATGTCGCGAAAGATGTGACTAAGTTATCTTCGCATGCAAAAGACACCCACGAGCCAAGACAGCTGTTTAGGTCGCGAGCGCGGGCCACCCCCGTTTCTCACGCGCACTCTACATCTGCTTACACCTCGGTCTCGGACCCCTTCTTATAAACTTCATTACACAACAATAAAACTTGGCCTTATTATTTTTCTTCCCTAGCACTGATTTCATGTAACGGGACTCATTCGTCGCGACGGCATCGCGCGTGCTGTATGTCTCCGGGCCGCTGCCCTTTACCTATTAATTGTCGATTTTGCGACTCGCGAAGTGTTGGTCATTTATATTTCAAACTGATCTTCTAACATAATGGACGCAATGATTGACGCTCAAAAGTCGAAATTAAGATATCTTAACGTACCAGGTATGTATTTTTCTAAATTTATTTACACTTATGTAAACTTACATGAATGTATATTGCGTATTATGTGAATATTAGAAAATCTTAGTGCGATGTTTACTTTACCGTAACTTTTCAAATATATTTTCCCGCCATATTATTTGGTAACTAATGCATATGCATTATAATATTTCATTATTATTAAATTTTTCTTATGCTATAAGACACAAAAATGACAACTGATGTGTTTTCTGAATATAGAAAGTGCCTATATTTAAGTACCTTACAGTTACCAAAAACTATTGAATTAAGAATCGCTGTAACGTTATACGCGGTATTAAGGAAACTCGTAAGCTTTGAATAAATTACAAATTATATATGTATTATATATATATATATTAAAGTTAAAAATTAAATAACTATAAATAAGCGTTGCCTATTAAAATTAAACTCGCTCGTGTTATTTTACCAGATTTTCAGTGATAGAAAATCAGGAGGTAAATTAGAATTTAGTCGTAATTATTGTAATCATATAGTGAATTAATGACTCAATCAATGCATATTTTAGACAGCAAAATATGCATCTGAAACAGTTTTATTGCATCATCTAAACCAAAACTAACTGAGAAAGTACATTCATAAGTTCCTTTTGTTAATATTTTACCATAAAAAAACAGCGATTGATCACGATCGCATCTGAAGTTAAGTTGGTACGTTCTATCTTAGTACATAAATGCTTTTTCTCTCTACTCTTGAAGACCTACGTAATACTCAGACGCAAAAATTTAAGCTGTTCTTAACCTTTGCAGTAATACGCCCAAGTACGATGCTTCGTTCGAACACGGTATTGTGAAAAGAAACAATTTTCAATGTTAATATTAACTAGCTGTTGCCCGCCACTCCGCGCGGAATTTAAAAAAAATAGATTATGAAATACCTGGATTAAATATTTATGAAATATTTGGATAAGAGGGCCAGCTGATCCTCCCCCCTCCCCCCCCCCCTTGACCTAGGAGATTAAAAGTAATGCCTGTTTTTACTTCACCCAGGAATTATAATAGACACAAGCCATTAAATTCATTAGAACTAATAGAAATCAATTTTATATTTAGTTATAAAAAAATTGGATAAACAACGCATTATCTATCACTAAATACATTAAAGTATAATCCTAATAAATAATTAGGATCTGAGATACAGCAGTAGGCGATACATCCTGCCTGGACTTCAATAAACAATTATTTTGTACGACGCAGTAACAAAGCCTAATTAGCTCTTACATAGAAATTTCCACTTCAACAATTGAGAAAAGCCGATAAATATTGTAAGGTTCTTAGTAATTTATATCGGATAAAGTAATATTACATAATATTCACAATATGAAATAGTCTGAAATATTAAATTGTTTCTACAATGTGGTAGGTACATTGGACAAAGATATTGTCCAAAGTGAGAGAGAGGCTGATGATAGTGATGATGACTATTATTATGAAGTTTGTTATTTTTTTTTGTTTTATTGATTTATTATTTTACACAAGCAGCTGCAGGCAGCTTCACACGCATCATGTATTAACATTTCCCCCTGGACGTTCCCCGAATATTTCACTTCAGCTTACGTTTAAAAGCGACAATGAAATAGCAAATAGTTGTTACATTTTCCCGAATTCCCCGAATTTCCCGAATTAATTTATTTTCTATAATTTTCATGTAGATTTCAACTATGAAATTATGAGACAAGGTTTCGTATAATTTTAGTTAATAGCAGGCAGCCTGTAGCCACTGACAGCACAGCAAATAAACAGGATGAGAATTAACCTTCTAGTGATCTCTACGACTTGTTTTTTGAAGAAAGTATTAATAATATAAGAAACATTTTTGTAGAGTACACGGCCTACAATTTCGGCGATTAGAATAGCCAACTCAAACGCCGGGTAGCTACTATACCTTATCTCTTCTATCCCTTGGTTAACGAAAAAACTACTAAGGTATTATCCGTGGCCCAGTTATTCTACAAAATCTTTTCGCGATAAAATCCTTAGCCTTATTATGATTAGGCGCATACGCAACATTTTCGCAAGCGCAAGGCAGGTGGAGGCGATGCATGCAGCTCCAATCCAAGTGTAGAGCCGTTTGTTTCCATCAATCGGCGCCGGCATCAAGCAGTCGCAGATTGCAGTCGGTTGCGAAGCGCGGTATCGGACGGTTGTGTTTTGTGAGTGCATCCACCCGTGTCCAGTGCGTGACCAATGTTTCCATGCAAGGTGCGGGGGCGGCGGGACCGGTCGACGGTCGCGCACCCGACCCGCCGACCTTACGTACCGTTCACTGCACGCAACACGGCGCTCCTACCATCAAGTACATCCCAGGATCAGAAATGCAAAAGATAAATACAACACCTGTGCTTTAATACCGCAAGAACTTACTGTGACACGGACTCTTATATTGATGCATCTTTATTGCAATTTCGGACATTGCCTACGGGGATACGTATACTATGTACGTTTTAAATATAAGTAATACATAAGTAAACTTTTTGCTTTAACGGTACTGTAGCAGTTTTATCCGTATTGCAGGTAAAAAAACACAAATCAAAATTCATAGTTCGATTTTACTAATTGTTAATACTGTTTTTATATAATTCGATACGAAGATATCTCGTTAGTTAAATCAATGTTCGTGGGCATTATGAGCCCTACAAACTACGCTACTATTCAAGGTCCGTAACGTTCACTTTGAGTAGCAAAAAGTATGTCGAGACATTTCATCAAATTCTTTTTCCCATTTTCTTCCTACCTTCTTTTTCATATTGAATAACTATATATATAAGTATATATCACTAGGAATGAGAGAGGTTTTAAGCTATATGAACGAGCATATAGCTATTCGTTGATGTACATATGTACTAGTGTGTTCAGTTTATATACCTACATAGGTATTAATTTCAACGCGAGAGCGAAATTTGAAACCTCTGTCTACCGTCCCATTCGTATTAAATACTTTATATTTTTATATTTTAAATTATCACAGGATGAAATTTAAAAAAACCTGCAATAGGTGTGTGTCTTATCAATTATCAAGTACTTCTTCTAAAGAAAATCTCTTAATACTAACTTATATCTCCCACTTTAATCTTCAGAGGATGAATTTATAAATATCTTTTCGTATTTCTAGCTTAAGTAGGTATTATAACGGATTTGGATAAAAGGCACAGAAATAGAAAGTAGTCCGGAGGAAAGTGTAGGCTACTTTTATTCCGGAAAAAGTACAATTCCGGCGGATAGATTTATTTTTTATTTACATAATCAATACAATTCCGCAACAAAAAGTTTTTTTTGTTTGGTTCACGCAGACAAAGCCGCGGGCAACAGTTAGTCTTATATAATTCTATCGTAAATATAGTTCCCCTTAAATAAAAAGATCCACAACGACAACAGTAGATACGCCCCATGTATTATTATTGTTACAACAAAAACTCGTATTCTTAAGTACCCGAAGAAAAAACATCTGGCACCCGTTTACCAAGCTTCAAAACTTAGGGGATCATCTTTGTGACACTAGAGATCCTTGCGATTGGTCGAAATATTTGTACGCATTGCCAATAAGGAACAAGAGATAAGTATCGTCCATGAATGACAGATGCGCAAAAGGTGCATCTTGAACTCCTTTGAGATATATGTATATGTATAGGAACACAATAATTATGTGTAGGATTAGGAATTCATTTAAATAAGTATTTATTGCAACATTATCGTTAGCTTTGGTTCTCACTACATAAAAAACTAAATTTGCTTCGTGATTTTTTTTTATTGATAACTATTAAATAACTATTGAATACTTTGAATTTATGAAGAGATAAAATCAAATATTTCTACGTCAATTTCAATTAATTAATCTATTAACAAATAAATATATTTAGCAGTAAATAGAAACGGACGCCTTATGTTGTTTGACGTAGGTTTCCATTACTAAATGTTCTAACTATTTTTGAGCCGGCTGTACATGTTGGCCAAGGCTTGCCGAATGGAGGCTAATACGAGTGTAGGAAAATTAATATAAGTCAAGTGCTACTTGTATTTAAGTTTGACAATGTATCAAACATAAATGAATATTTTCTTGTGGCACACAGAAAAACGTTTTTGTCACCCATGGCGCGCGAGAGCCATTTGTACATAAAAATCGAAACCATACTGAAGTGAGGCCAGCGATCATGATCGCTTGCGAGTCGTGACAAGCTACACCAAATAAGCCCTATACACGTTGGCGCTTGCGCACGTGCTGGATCGCGCAAATGTTGGACGAGCGACGCCGAGCGATAGCAAGCAGTGGAAATATACCGTCTCTACATTGGTATCATTGCCTTCACTCGGCAAGCTTTGGCCAACGTATAGAGCGCGCTTTAGATTATTAATTTGGTTATTTGGCCATGGAAATCCTTAGTTACTAATAATTGAAGCTTTTATGTGCTTTACTCATAATGTGTGTTCTAATAAGTTGCACGTATAAAAAACACAAATGCTTTCATAAAAAACTCTATTTTATTGTAAAAAAAAATCTTAATTATAAAGATACCCAGAATAAAGAAAATGTTTAGAAGATTGCACAGGAACTAGATAAAATCAGTAAACTTCTGCTTGCCGGCAGCCGCGTTTTTTGGAATCCAACCTTTAGATTACTCAACAATAACTAAAGTTCTGTTATGTCCTGTCTAAAGTTACACTTATGAAACATTCGGCTGGATAACTGGAAAATAAATTTATAGGCACCTATTGAACTCATTCTTTTACACCAATTTGAGCTTAAACTGGACGTATTTCGATTTCAGGTTGGCATGTACCAGTGGAAAGGCCAGTCATCGGAGAAAGCAGCAGTGGAAGTAGCATGGCGGAGACGGCGTCTCTGACTTGCAGTCCGAAATACTTGCACAAAAAGCGCCGACTCTCGCGCCTGCTCGACAAGCTGGCGGTGCAGTTACAGAACAACAATCATTACCCGCTACCCCCTTGGCTTATGCTCGACCCCCCTTACTACGAGACCAAGACGCAGGAAGACGCCCCGCTTGATCTTTCCGTGAAATCGGAACAACCAAAAGTGGAAAAAGAGCCAGATGGATACAGTTGCGCTACTTGCGGCCAGACTTTCGCCCTTCATGATAGACTCGCCAAGCACATTGCGTCCCGGCACGCAGACAAAACTCCGGAATCAGCGCGTGCTTATGAGTGCGAGATCTGCCGGCGGCGATTCGCCCGCTCCGACATGCTGACGCGGCACGCCCGCCTGCACACCGGCATCAAGCCGTACTCGTGCTCTGCATGCGGGCAGGTGTTCTCACGCTCTGACCACCTGGCGACGCACCAGCGCACGCACACCGGCGAGAAGCCGTACCGTTGCCCCGTCTGCCCGTACGCCGCTTGCCGACGCGACATGATCACACGCCACATGCGGACGCACTCGCGCCCGCACTGCCGCTCTCAACCACGCCCGCAGCCCGCTGAAATCTAAATGCGCTCTGAACACCCTGCCACGGGCAACATTCAACTATAGAGTGTTCGATGTCTACAACGTTAGTTAAACAAAGTAGATGTAAGTTAAGTTGACAAAATTCAGTTTCATAATTTATAATAGGTATTTCTCTCCATTACGAAAGGCTCATGCCTTTTTATTTTATGATTAATTTACCTTTACCTCGAATGTTTTTCTATGTGTACTTAGAATTTGGAAGTCTATTTATTTTTGTAATGATCTGGGCTTCACTGAGTATTAATGTAAAGTTGATTTATTCATTTCAAAGTTATTACGAGTACGCTTTAATTGGGTTTGTGTTTTTACAATTGTAGGACGACGGATCACGGAGTGGACACGGCTTATATACCATGGGTGAGAATGACATATCACATTGCAACATGCAGAGCTTTATGAAATAAACAAAAGTAAACTTTAATTACTTTTAATTTTTGCCTTTACGCGAATTTCGACTTGTCTACACATTATTTTGCCTGCTGTGCGCAATGCGATGTGTCTATAAATATTTGTTAAATAAATAGCATTTTTAGATTTAAATGTTACATATTAATATTACTATGAAATGTTAATTTTTACGGCTATGCGTTTAACTTAATGTTTGCTTTATGTACTTAAGTATATGACTGTTACTAGTGTTTGCACTATGTTAACGTGTTAGGTGTAAACAATTAGGTATTTCTAATTTATACGTCACCGACAAATCGTGTAATCCGCCCATTTGTAATTTTCCCCGGCAAACATATATATTATATTTCAACAATTTATAAAGGACTTCATTACAGCAAATAAATAATTACCCGAGTATATACTTGCAGGCACTGACGACAGTGCAACTACCGATGTAATGTGACCTATATCGCAGAAATATAACACGTCTCTTTGTGAATGATTTAGTTTGAAATTCAATATGCCGAGTTTTTGAGAATTGCCGGGGTTAATCACAAAACAACGGTGTACACAATTCGTTACAGAGTTGTGTTATTTTTGTAAATATGCTATAAAAATAATTAATTATGAATTGTATGTAGTCTTTTCAATGCATAATAAAACCGCCATCTTCTGTATGTACTACGGTCTAGTTTATAAAAAGCGATATATGAGGCGATCAATGATTTGTGTGGCACACGGCATTTGGAATGTCACCTTTTACATACAAATATCTTTTTAACAATAATGACAAATACATTGTACTAAGAGAAAAATAGTTGTAGTTTTATGTAAGAAAGTTTTGATAAACTGTTAAATGTCACATTTTAACACGTTGAGCGCCACGTCAGCCATCGGTGGCTGACACTAGACTTTCCGTTTAGGCCGCGACAGCCATCGGTGGCTGACACTAGATTTTCTGTTTAGGATGTTTGACGTTCAGTAACATTTGAACTGTAATGAACTGATTTGACGCAAAAAGAATAACGGCCACGAATCCATTTCGAAGAAATTTTATCTGAGCGGGGTAAGTGGTAAGAAATCAAAAGATCAGACTTGGCGCGTAACGTGTTGAAACAGAGCCTATAGGTATGAAGTTAAAAATGTAAACTATTTAGTACTGCGGTCGGAAACACCGGCCCTTTAATACCAGTGCGTATAAGCGGCGCTCGTGGCCTGAACAAGATTGTCTTAGAAATATGCGTGGCGTTTAACGTGTTAATGTACATAAATGTTGTCATCAGTGTTATTTTTGGACACTTGTTTTTGTCCTACTGATTTAAAGGTTGTTTTTATGGATGATAGTGTGGGGTTTATGTACATATATTTTTATTGTGGAGGAAGTAAATTTCCTACCTTTTAAAGTTAGTAGATTGAAAACTTGTTTAATTATAGAAACATTCTAAATTATTAGTCGTAGCGACAGCGACCTTAATTATTTGTTAATTATATTATTAATTTATTTATTAATTATTTTGTATGATTTAAACGTCGATAGCACTACATTTGGTTATTGTGAGAAAGCGTAGTTATTTCTGCAAGTGAAATAGCGCCAACGAAAGCCAGAACCCGTATACTAAGTGACGTTCGATTAGAGATTTTAGTGACAATCAGTAAAATTGACAAAATGTATGTAATTATAAAATACATACGCTATAACAACGTGTGTTATTAAAGTATTTGTCAGTTCGCTACATTTTACGTAGTCACTAATCGTATGTTACTTTGCCTAGGAGGCGTAATGACTTGTAGCCTAGGCGGCTTAAATGTTTGAAAAGCCTGCATTCGGGGTTGGTCCATTAATCATGCAAATCCATGAAGATCGAAAGTAGGAGGGTAGGGTTTCCGAAAAAAAAAATCACGAAACATCACGAGGAGGGAGTGGAGGTAAAATAAATAAAATTAATAATTAAAAAAAATATATTAATTTATACTAAAGAATACGCGTATTCTTAGGTATCGTTGGTAATCTAAAACCTCGACACATCATCAGAAGGGTCAAAAAGTTGCTAAAAAAACATCAATGGATGATCCTTTATTATATAATAGTTTTCTCATAGTCATAGCTGTGTTGGCAGTCGGGATTATTTTATTAATTTATTGATTTATTTAATTAATTTATTTAATGTGTTATAACTTTATGAATATAATGTTATAGGAACTCGTCAGTTACATGCATGTTAAATTAAATTTAAATATAAAAAAAATTGTGTTTATGTAGTTAAGTTCTTTTAATTCTGTGATAATTTTGTGTTTCAATAAAGCCATGTTGCAACAATATTTATTTCTATAATTAAACAGATTTAAGACGTCTGTTGTAACCATCATTTGGGGGGGGAGTTGTGCCAATAATCGCCACGCTTGGCAGGCGGGTTGGCGATCAAAGTAGTTCCATGGTAACCTAGGGACACTTCTGCCCGTCCTCCAGTGGTCTGGACGCAGTTTAACGACAATGCCCCGGTCTATCATTGTGGCAATCGATGGGGGACGCCTACGTCGCAGTGGACAAATTTAGGCTGATTATGATGATGATGATAATGACGTCTATAAAAATCATCAGCACCCACCCTTCTAACAAATTATTACCTTGTTTTTTCTTAAGATTTGTTCTGGTGTTTGTGAACGTGAATTCTTAAGGGGGAAGGAAAGCTTGCTCCCTATCAGCTAATTCAACGTGACATGACCCATAAAATGCCCTGCACTAAACGCGGCCGATCAAAATTGTATAAAAACTCGATCTATAAAGTACCTCTAGCGCAACAGATCAAGACAGCATGAGTTAGATATATGCAGAATGGTCTACATTTAAAATAACTGACACTGTGCTCATAGTATAAGGAAACAGGAGAATCACAAAATTAAAAACAAAATACTTGAAAATTGGCGTCTGCATTTACAACATTAGTGCTTTATTATGAATAATTGACAACATCTTTCAGGGTTTTCTATAAATTTACAATTCAACGAGTGATTAAAAGGTTTTAACAAAATTCATCCTCTAAATCTAAACTAAGGGTGGTTAGGCTAGGCGGTTGCTGTACACATCGTGACATGCTACCTTGTATTTACTTACTTGGGGAATTGCTCCCCCTTGATAACAGGCGCATTAGCGCGACCACCACTACTGTTATAACAGATGTTTATTCTACTATGTAGTTTATTAAATTCAATCAATATTTGTAATATGAATAAAATCTGTGAAGCACAGATTTCTTTTTGTTCGACTCTTAAAATTGTACTTTATTCATATGTAACACAAGGAAAACTTTACACGCACAGGGAATCATGGAGTTTGAAAAATGAATGAGGCACAGAGAAAAACAATGTTACTTTTATTGTAATTAAGAGGGATCAAATTATCATAGGACTGTCTATTCGAAGTTCTATGAGAACTAACATCAAAAATCGTAAAGCTTCTTAACCGATTTTACAAATCATACCTAGTCAATAATTTAAAAAAATCCTTTCAAACTTGAAACGGCAAGCCATAGACAAGGTTAAACAAAATTAAAAACATTTGATCTGGCAACATTTCCTCTTCCTCTAAGCTTAACCTACTTTTCGCTTGTCGTTAAGAGATGGATAGTTGACAACGTAACGTTAATTTGATTAAACTCGTTGATCAACTGGTTGGCAAAATTTACGAAAATAATTAAGCGAGAGAAAAATAAATCCGGGAAGAAGAAAATTTTCCTTAGTCAATACAAATATAATTTAATAAATTTCAATAATTTAAAAAGAAAACCCATAAAACTTTTGTTCCAATGTTCTGAGAGAATTTTTGTCAGAAATCGAAACCGATATTCTATCAAAAATCGAGGTGTCAATTTTTTATTAACTTATGTATACAAATCCAAACACTTAACCATAGATAAAGTAAAATAATAATGTCGAAAACGGTATTCCTGGTTTAACAATTTTTCTGATTTAACTAAAAAAAATAATGGTCATATCTTTATTTCACAATTTTCACTGAATAACTAAAAAATTCAAATATTGTAATGGCCGCCATGTATAAAATTTTACGTTTTGTATTTTATTTTGACCCAAAACCAAACGAACAATAGACAAGTTACCTTTAGATATAATTTTTTTACTTCAAACAATCAAGTGAAAATCGATCAACCGTTGATACATTTAAAGATTATCGATGGATGGTTCAACTAGTTTGTTGAAACAACGCCCATCACTATTGTCGTTAGTCGTCACGTCCTGATCGTCACCTCACCTCTTCATTCGTAGTTCTCGCGTCTGCCATCCGCCATTTCGGCGTGACTGTCGCATAATAGATTGATTATGACGCCCTCATTTGGCTCTCATTGAAATTATTGTAGCGCCAGGCCAGTGCATAGTGTAATTTCAGGTATAAAGTTAATTACCAATTTACAGAATTTCTATACATTTATGACACATGTTAGCAACGCATAAGTTTTACCTTCCGTTTGATTCGTGTTATGCTATTTTAAAAGCCAGGGTTTCATGAAATGTAAGTGTCGCCGATTTTTTCGCCCAAGTAAATTTGCCGATGGAAATAATTTTATTCCATGTGTTTACATTTTATTTAAGAATGAATTATACAGAGACAGAGTGAAATGTAAAAACTACGAAAAATCTTTTGGTGGTATTGACGACAGCGCCGTCTGTGAATGTTTTCATCTATTTGATTTAGATTGGCGCTATTTTGTGATAAACCTGTGTACAACAGTTATTTTTAAGGTAAAAGTGTTTTCTGATCGCAATAAAAGACGTTTTTCTTGATTCAACATATATTCAATCCATATAAAATGGCGGACGTAGTTAGATTTACTTTCATGTATAAAATGCATTGATTATTTAGTGCACTGTTAATGGTGGCAAATCAAGCCAAGAAAATTTTCTAAAATAGCTTGAAATCATTACCTGCATCATAGGAAAAATGTTCTCAAATAATACTTTTACGCCAATAAATTTCACGACCGAACTATAAACGACAGCCTTATACTAAATCACCACATTATATATTTTTATTTGTATTACTTATAGCTATTTAAACTATAAACTTATACATACCCGCGAAAAACATATCCTGTCACAACTAAAAATATATGTTGCCACTCAAAATCTAGTTTTAAAAGAAAAATAAATATTTACCTCCAAAACAAATTTAGAACTTAAGAAACTAATATTTCTTCCTCACAGCGTATTGAAGATGTGTCACTTCTATTCAATAATTGTGTTTAACCCAAACCAAGGCAGGTGTCTTAATAACTGCTATAAAAAAAATTATTCTTCTTTCTTTTTTTTGCAGCCATGTCTGTACCAGAGCCATCCAAGGGAAAATCTCTGCTGCAGTCTTTTATAAATAGCTTTAATCAACAAAATGAATCAGGAGTTGCTATGCCAGGTATAAGGAAATGTTTACTATAGTATATCAAAGATTGCAAAACTTCTTTTGTGCAATCTTCAAATTTAACTGGTTACATTTTCGGTAAAGCCATTTGTATGTTGGAATTAAAAACAGATGCTTTTTCTTTCCATATTATAATACTGCCACTTTACAATAAGACACTTTTATTAATTAAATATTTATATCTCATACAGTGGCTTTCAGATATTTTTGTATCTCTTAACTTTGTATGGAGCACAACATAATTTAAATTATGCAGAGCAGGGCACTGTAGAGACTGTTGATGATATTCAGCCACACAGATATTTGAAAAGAAATATACTTTTTTTTAATGAAACAAATATGCATTAATACAAGTATTACTGCAGTTGTTGACTGTAGCCAAAACCAATGTTATATCATTTTGTAGGTACTAGTAATGCGGTTGAGGAAGTTGCAGATTCAGGGGTGGCATACTTTGTGGATGAAGAAGGACGGTACTATTATCAACCTGCTGATGATGATCAGAACATAGTATCTTTACCGATGATTACTGATGATACACCAGAGGTACAAAATATCAATAGTATACTATGTCCGCACAAATTACAAATTTACTTAAAGATATAAATTATCATCTTTTTAGGTATAGGCAGAGCAGGCAAATAAAAACCTATATTACAGGAGTAGCAATGTTTAGATTATATTACATAGACATATTAATAAAGATGCCCCACAATATCAAAGATGACAAGAAAGTTTTCACCATAGATTTTCTATTTTCCTGCTTTGGTTATATATACGGTTTTATGAATGAAACTAATGTAATAATTTCTTGTTAGGTAATCCAAGTGGACGATGATGAGGAGGAAGATGAGGAAGATATACCCACAATTATATCAGACTATAAACCATACCAGACAGTAACATTGATGCCGTCGGAAAATGGTTCGGGTGGAGTAAGCTATGTTCTTGTTGTTCAGGATGAAGCAAAGCAAGTTGTTAACATCAATATTCAGGTAGATAGATCATATTTAAGAGTAGTATATGTTTATACTCATAATTGTTTTGAACTAGGATCATTTTGATGTAAGTGTATAGTGATAATTTTATTCGTAATTTATTTTAGGATGAAAAGAGTACTCAAGATGTTTATACCTTTGAAGAAGAAGATGAAGAGGGTGGTCAAGAGGGCACTGATGATGACAATGAGAAAAGTAGTGTGTCAACAAGAAGCAGGAATTCAAAACATGTACGCCCGCGGTTCACATGTAATTTCTGCTCATACACCAGCCACAGGCGGTAAGTTTATTTTACAATATCTGTATTTTTTTATCTTGATTTGGGTTGATTTACTTACATATTTGTCAATGTTTATTGTATATAAAAGTAATTTTTTACAAATGATCCTTTGATCATACTAATACTATTATTACTCACAAAGGTATATTGTTTTTATTGACAGCAATTTAATTTATTTATAAAATACAATTTACTGCTTGTAGATACTTGCTCTTAAGACATATGAAATCTCACTCCGAGGACAGGCCACACAAGTGTGATGTTTGTGAGCGAGGCTTTAAGACTGTTGCCTCACTGCAGAATCACGTAAATATGCACAATGGTGTGAAACCCCATGTTTGCAAGTACTGCAACAGTCCTTTCACTACCTCAGGTATTATTGATTGTAATATATATTATTTTTATGCTTAAATAACGAGAATTAAACTAGAACCCATACTTTGAGGAAACTTATCATTAAATGTAAAGAGTGTAGAAAAAGGTTAACATATTTTTTATAGGCGAATTGGTACGCCATATCAGGTACAAACATACCTATGAAAAACCACACAAATGTACCGAATGTGATTATGCGTCAGTGGAATTGTCAAAATTGCGGCGGCACGTGCGATGCCACACTGGGGAACGGCCATATCAGGTATGAAATACCTGTACAAAACATAAATAAGTACACTATTATTCTGCTCTTTAGAGTGAGACAGATAAAATGTTATATTTTAATAGAATTATGTGTGTTTTAATGTAAACCCATTGTTGTCTTGTAGTGTCCCCACTGCACCTATGCTTCTCCGGATACTTTCAAGTTGAAGCGCCACTTGAGAACCCATACTGGAGAAAAACCATATAAATGTGAGCACTGCAATTTGTGCTTCACCCAATCCAACTCATTGAAAGCACACAAACTTATACATAATGGTAAGACTATTTGGTTATAACAACATACAAATTAATTACTAATTTTAAATCTAAAGATGTTATTTTATTGCATAACATTTATTAATAAGTAAATTTTGTTGATAGTATCTGAGAAGCCTGTGTATGCCTGCGAACTTTGCCCAACAAAATGTGGCCGCAAGACTGATCTTCGCATCCACATTCAAAAGCTTCACACTTCAGATAAGCCACTGAAATGCAAGATATGCGCTAAAACGTTTCCAGATCGTTATTCCTGTAAAGTGCATTATAAGGTACGTGTCTGAATCAACACAATGTTTAATGTATAAGTTGAAGCGGGCAACGGATGCATGAATATAAAGTAAAGGAAACTTTACCTGCCTACGTGCGTCACTAACATTATTCATTATTCATCTGCTTAGATCTAAATATTGAGCAATCTTGTATAAGGAATGATCAAAATTTTCCATATGTTCTAAAATGAATTTGATGGTAAAACATGATTGAGGGAAATAACTTTTAGTCTGTGCATCCTCTCTCTCTATATGTTATTGCTCATTAGTTTGTAGTTGATGCCTTTGGTACACAACAGTTACTTTGAAGAACTATGGCATCTTTGTTGATGATGCAATATTCAATAATTTAAATTTCTAATTTGACACTATAAAATTCAGTAACATTAAAAACCAAATTAATTCTTGCTGATTTTCAAGTCTTCTTATTCTCTTGAAATACTTAATGTTCTGAAATCACATAAATACTGATAAATGACATATGTAGTAAATAATATGTTAAATTTTAGACTCATGAAGGAGAGAAATGCTTCAAGTGTGAAATCTGCATGTACGCTTCGACCACGATACGACGCCTCAAGTCTCACATGCTGAAGCACACTGATGAGAAACCATTTGTCTGTGATCAGTGCGATCAGAGATTCAGGTGATTTGCCTTCACTGTTATACTACATAACAGTGCATACACATATTTGGTCTATATTACTTATTTAATAATATTTTCATTGAAATTGTGTAATAATTGTTAACATTGTTGCACAAAAACTAAATAAATAAGAAATAGTTCCGTTCTGCCAATAAAAGCAATCCTTTCTAATAAAACTACACAACAACTTTTAATTATTTTGAACTTAATGTGATGAAATCAAAAGAACTAAAACAATAAGATAATACTATTTTCAAGGCAAAAGCAGCTACTTCGAAGACACCAGAACTTGTACCACAACCCAGACTATGTACCGAAGCCTCCAAAGGAGAAGACGCACACTTGTCACGAGTGCCACCGCACATTTGCGCACAAAGGCAACCTCATCCGGCACCTCGCTGTCCACGACCCGGAGTCAGGCCATCAAGAAAGAGTCCTGGCACTCAAACTTGGCCGTCAGAAGAAAGCAAAACGAGTAGACGGACGTCTAAGGGTGAGCTATTTATAATTAACTACTCTTGCTATTTTTAATTTCTTATCAACATTTTGTTGAATTCAAAACATTCCTTCACTAGCTGTCGCTCATGACACCGTCCGCTTGGTAATAAAAAAAAACATAATACCCTATGTGTTCTTTATCTATGTAAAATTTCAGCGAGATCCATACAGCAGTTCCGGAGATACCTTTAAACATACATCTATCCAAACATTCGCATTTATAATTTTAGTAAGATATATTTCACAATGGATGTCAAACAATTTCTTCTAATATGTCACCACAACTGAAAAAATATTATTATTAATTCTATATACAAACTTGTGTTTCAGGAGGTGCGTGAAGACGACTCTGACAGTGAGGACAATGAGCAAAATGATGAAATTAAAATGGATATAAGCGACAAGGAAATGCAGAGCGAGTATGTGACGGTGTCAGATGGTGACAGCCAGCAGTATGTTGTGCTGGAAGTGATACATCTTGAGGATGGCTCCGAGCAGCAAGTGACTGTTATGGCCCCAGAATATATTGATGACGAACAAAGTAAGTACCAAAAAATTCAATATATTGATTACATAAGTGTTTATCTTTTTTGTATATGTACTTGAGAACTAATTGAATACTCAAAAAAATCACAAATTCAACTACTTCATTCAATCAAGTTCAGAACTTCTAGATATTTACATTAATTTGTCGAGAAACTTAAGTATGCAATATGCAATTATTAGCAGTCGCCCGAGACTTCGTCTGCGCGCAATAAAAAAAATAGATAATTAGTAGTCTATGTGTTTTTCTAGACTATGTTCTATATGTACGCCAAATTTCATCTAGATCCTTTCAGTCGTTCTGGAGATACCGTCAAACAAACATCCATCCATCTAATCATTTTCATTTATAATATGTATTAGGAAGATTACCACCAGCTTTGTAACAGAATAATATCAAATGAATAAGACATTACCAAGTTAACACTGACTTTTGGTCATCAATTTGCTATATGTTTTACTTAATACAATAATTTATATTTACAGTCGAGGAGGAGGAGGAGGAGGAGGAAGAAGAAGAAGATGTAAATGAAAATGATGATGATGATACAGAAGATACAAAAAAAATAATTTTGATAAATGATCCTGAACCTGAACCTGCACCTGCACCTGCACCACCCCGTAGGTCAATCCAGAGTACAATAAAGTTTGAGACTGACGTTATCAATTGTTTTGGATTTGAGGTAAGATATATTATTTATTTTAGGTTTTGCCCGCGACTTCGTACGCACTGAATTAAAAATAAACTTAATATCCTACATTTACTATTCTAGACGGTTTCTAAATCTGTGCCAAATTTCATGAATAACCGTTGAGCCGTTCTGAAACCTTCTAACAAACATCCATGCATACATCGAAACATTCGCATTTATAATAAGTAAGACTAACATTAAAATTAACACATATAACATTTATATTAGTTTAAATATAAAATGCTTAGTTTTGATAACACATAAATGTATGTAACATTTTCAGGATGATGATGCTGACAATGCAGATGATGAAATTCCTTACGAAGACAAGGTTCTCTTAAACTTAGTTTAGAGATACATAAATTATAATTAAATGTTTTAAGTATGATATTTAATGAATGATATCTGCATATTTTATAAAAGCAACCCTACAAATTAGATTCTTTACTATTTTAGAAAATTTAAATTCAAATCATTCTGTAAATGAAAGAGCAATAACTAGAAAATAATGTTAATATAAAGAAGTTATAACTATTTCACATTCAAAACACAAATAATCTTAACTGCTCTTTTAATATTATTAATTTTTGCTAATACTTTTTAAATATAAAGGATTTTGTAGGATTCAATAGAAATACTTTAAGCCTTTGTTCATGGCAAATAAACTTTAGGTATAAGGGGGCGTCCATAAATTGCCTGAGGTGTTTGTTTGTTGCAATCAGAAAAAAATTGCGTGATGTTTGCCGAGACCCCCCCACCCCTCTCTCTCCAACGTAATATTAGATGAGATTTGACTCGACCCCCTTAAACACCTCACGTAATTTATGGACCCTAATGTGATTTTGACAAGGTTTAAAGAAAATGTTTCTTGTAACTCAGACTACTGCACGTAAAAAGTAATATATCAGTTTATCATTTTACTTTAGGAAAATGATAAATAGTAATAGTTATTATTATAATAAATTGTGATTGTCTTATATACAAAAAAATTAAACAATATAATATTTATCGTCTATTTAGATAATTCCGATCATTAATGTATATTAAAAATATATATCTATATGTTTAAAATTGCGTATTATACAAAAATATCTGTTTCATTGTAGTCAAGTTTAATAAAGTCTTATATTTTCATACTTAATTCAATCCTTAGTAACTTTTAATTATCATTTAGTTCACAACTATTAGTATTGTAAATATTTTGTTACATTTTAAAAGTTCATATATTAGTATAGTAGTATTCAAAATTTGTGTGTGTATGTGTTTGTATTTTTATCATTTAACTTAGTAGATGTTTAATTTAAATTATGTACAATGAAACAAATTGTGTCACTACAAATTTTTTTGTTCTTCTATACTGTAAATATATTGCAAAATTTATTCGTATTTGATATAGTTTCTTTTTTTTAAATTATGGTACTGTTTAAAAAAATCCTGTGAACCAAGTTATAGAATTAGGTATATGAAACTAGTTTGCATTTCTTAGTATATTAAAGAGCTACATTTTGGTTACTGTTTGATGTTTTCTAGCATTATGTCTGGAAGTGCACAAATATTGCCAGCATTACTTTACCTAGAAAGAATGCAGTTTAACACTTCCTATATTATTATAATCTGTAAATATGAATGTCGTAAAATTAACTACTTTAATTTGAGTCTTAGTATGTAATTAAATACCATTAGACTATTATAATTTCCTATTCTTGTATCCGTTTAAGAAACAAATACATCTCTGAAATAGGAACAAATTTTGTTAGATATGAATAAGTTCGTATCTTTTTTAGAGTAAGAATTCATTCGATTAATTACCGTCTTTAAATAATAAATTTAGTTAGATGAAGTATAACAGATTTAAATGTCTTTAAACAAACATATTCATTTCAAGGCTTACACGGTCACAATTATCACATTGACACGGAACACAGCGAATGCCACGGTATGTAAATAGGCTGGTTTTGAAACAAAAAACAATTATGATTGGTTTATATTACTTTTGTTTTACTGTGTTCTTTTTTTTGTTTTATTCAAAACATGTCGTAATTATAATTGGAAAAATCAATGAACTCATTTGTGACTTATTTTTGGTTGCTTTTTAATTATTGTTTGAAAATGATTTGCTAAACATAAACTGAAAATTCAGTAACACAAACTTGTTTTCTTAAAAGCATGTAGTGTATTTGTAATGTAAATTATATTAAATTTTAATTTAAATTTTTGTTTTATTATTTTTAGTGGCTTGTTCTAGACACAGAAAACAATACGGTTCATATACTGAAAGTAATATTTGACGTATTTAAAACACGTGTTAACATTTTATTTTGGATAAATGTAGGAGGATAGGCCGTGTAAATAGCAGATGTAACAACAAGATATTTAAATAATCCTATTAAGTACTAGCGGTTGCCCGAGACTTTGCTGTCATGAAAAAACTAGCCTAACTTACTCTCGTATACATTAGCTACATTTCACAACAAACGCAGATTTGCGTACAGACAGACAAAGATTTAAAACATTAGGTATTCGTTGTAAGTAACGCAAACGCATCGTGTTCGCGATTTATCTGACATTACAAACAGGCACTTCAAATTTATTAATTGTATAGATATTTTATGTGCTTATAACAGCTGAACTATGTACGAAATTGATGCATATTTACGCCGAGAGATGGCATTTCTATAAAAAAGGTTCTTATCATACTTGATAATTCATTTATCAATAAACTTTGAGGTACTGAATTTAATGAAAGGATGTATGATAAAATGTGACATACATATTTACAAAGGCCTTTATGAAAATTGAATTGTAAATAGCAACTCTAATAATTTTATCCGAAAGACATCAAAATGGCGTAGTCTTATCTCAAGGTTTGCATATCTGTTTATTATGGTATAGTCTTAGTTTATAAATATGATCCAAATGTATGATAAAACAAACGTTATAAATTAATTATATGTGAAATTATTGTCATTAAATTTACACTAATATTCTATAATATGTATGTTTGCTGCATTAAATTTGTTATCTGATAATTTGGACGAGGCCAGCATGGTATTTAACTTGGCTGACATTTGTTTCGGAAATAATAAAAAGATGTCTAATTAGATGTAACGGTCGCAAGACTACATAGCATATTAACCGTGGGTTTTTGAGACCAAAATGTCTGCATAAAACACTTCGTCATCCCATTATCTTTGACAAAACAGAAATGACAATAAATTTTCAACGGGGACTGATCTCAGAAACCTATGGTATAAAAATATTTTGTTGTATATAGGAAGTTATAATTTAGTGAGATTTCCTCTGTTTTCTTTAATATTTAGTGTAAAATAACAGTGTATCATTAGATAAGATATAGTTTAACTAAATGAAACCTTGAACTATTTTCATTCTTAATTCTTAAACCGTTTTCAGCATCTATTCCGGACAGTATTCAGTGATATTACATCGTTGCATAGTTAGCTCACCCATGAGCTCCCATAACATATGCATGTTTTAATTTTAATATAAAATCATTACGGTACGTTAGCGCATTTATAGGCTAGGCTGTACGGTATGTTATACATATGTAATAATTTCTAAAGCAAATAAAGAATAAAATCCAATTGTTTGTGTATATTATTTTCACGCTCCCCAACACTTTTGGTATAAGCGGTACACGGGGGCGAAACACTCTTGCGCAATGCGCTTTCCTTCACACTATGTGGGCCTGCGCAATTACCTGCGAAGAAATACACTCGCAGCTAACCACGAGCTACAATAAAGTATAAAACTTATAATACTAAAACAGTTTTTTTCCACCAGTGATATAGTTTCATTATAGAATAGGGATTGCAAAAAAGGGTAAGTATGGCGAGAAAATAATAAAACTGCCGATCATTGATTGAACATATATGGTTTATTCAAAAGTAATAACAGTTTTCAAAGTCATTTAATACGAAAAATTCGAAAGAATTTATGAAGATTAGTATTATTAGGACGTATTAAAAAACTAAACCCTGCGTGATTTGATTCTGCATCAGAAGTATAGGTAGACAACGAGTACACTGCACTCGAAACAGATTCTTGTACTTCATCGCTCATACAAGATGTGTTTATTGACTCGGTATCGGAACTTGCTTCAACTTCCAATGCGGTACTCGTATCACAATCGGAGTTCATCGCTTCTATCTCAGATATTATGTCTTTCAGTTGTTTAATGCTCATTCTTTGAAAATCTCCAAATGTTAATCCATCATCACAATGTTTTTCATTTATCTCGAAAGATGGTCTAATAAGTAACATTAAAAAAGAGTCGTTTTATATAAAATTACTTTACAAAAATAAAGAAGGAAAATACTAACCTATGTGGATTTGAATCACAAGATAACATGGCGTTTTGTAATTGGCATATTATATCGTGCAACTGGTTTTCGTCCATTGTTTCAAAATCACTAAATGTTAATTCAACGTCTTCAGATAAGATAAGATTACACGGTTCATCTGAACCTAGCGCCACACAAGTCTGTGAACTAATAAAGAAAATGTAACAATTAAAAATATTATAAACAAAAGATGTTCGTAATTAAAATCTAGTAGAGGCACGCGAGCGCGCCGCCTCAATAAAATTAGTAGCTTACGTTGTTCCAGACTATGTTTTACCCAAATTTTATCGAGATTCGTTGAGTCCTTCTGGAGATAAACATCCATCCAAACATACAAATCGCATTTTAATATTAGTAAGACAAAGCTGATCGCAGTTTACAGCATTTCGAATCAAGTTATATCGGGAAAAACAAACCTTTCTTTTCGTCTTAAACTTGAATGGTAAGAGGATGTGGCGCTTTCTAAATCATATATAACGTGTCTGAGTTGCTTTTCGGTACTTATTTCAAACACACTAAATGTTAGTTCGTCTGCTTCTGCGTTATGTTCTTCAAGGATAAGTTCGCACTGTTCCTCTATATCAGTCTCGCAAGCTTGGCTAGTTGAAAATATTGTTTACTGTGAGTTTCCATTGCACACTTATGGTAAACTAATAATCTCAGTTATTAAAAGAATGAGACGATTGACAAGATATTTTTTAAATGTGTTATTGTTAAGTCAGAGAAAATATACGGGGTTGCGTAATGATGCAATTTTAGTTGTTAAAATATATGTGAAGTGTATTTAGTGAATTTTGCTGCCACGACATTAATTTTCTTAAATTTACATTTGAGATTTAAATAACAATATACAAACCTTTGTTGATTTTTCTTTGTTTTAATTTTTGGACGTTTTTTAAACCAAAAGGGTCTATGGTTTTCGATCTTTTCATAATCAGTTAAAGACTGAATACATTCAATCGAATGTACCGAAGTCAGATTTTTACCACAATTATCAACATTTCTTATGCATTCTCTGAATTAAAACAGTTGTTATAGTAAATTCTTTTGATACAACTTCAACTATAAATAATCGTTGGTTTCCGAGTCTCAAATCTTTGACAAAACAGAGATAACAATATGTTTCAAAAATGAATTTTAGGTCTCAGAAACCAACGATAAGCGTAACAAATATACAGACGGTTGTTCTTCTGCATGTTTAAAAGTCATTCCTCGATGTGATGACAAGTGGCATTTTATAATTTGTTGCTTTAATATTCGTGGTTTTTTAACTTTCGTAAGTTTATTTCTTTTCTTTTTTTTCTTACCTGAAAAAGTTTTTATGTTTATGCTTCTAAATAATCTATCATTATAATAATACAAGTAAAAGTCAATTAGGTACCATCTTTTGTTGCACAACGCCAATAAATATTTTTAACTGATTTACTGGAAACTTTCTCGCATTGGGAATAATTACTTGTAAAAACTTTTCGTTTAGGTATTAAATGTTTCGTCCTAGAATTCTTATTCAAGAGTTCTGGAGCTTTAAATTTTTGTGATACTTTTGTTGTAACATTTCGTTTATTTTTATATTTGTGACGACAATATCTACTTAAATTATATTCAGTCTCATCCATGTCTGAAAAGGCAGAGTTAGAAACATATTTTTTTGTTCTTTATTCACGTGTTTACTAAGGGTATTTAAATCTGTGAATGCAGTGTTGTTTCTTATTTATACTTGACTTTTTTTATTATCAAAATGCACATCATCAAAATAGCTATAAATTTCTATTAGTTATGTTAGAATGTTAATATAAGAAAAAAACTTAGTGCCATTGATTATTGCGCTTTATTTATTAAAATATTTAAATTTCCTACTTCATTATTTTGCACAAAAAAATCGATACAATTTTTTGGAATTGACACTATTGGGTGGTATAGAAAAATTGATTCCTGAACGTTTACGTTCTGAACCAGAATCATATGAAGAAAATGAACTAGAACTCGTTGTAATTGTATCATCAGAAAACTTCGAACCTTTTCCGATATAAGAATCGCTTGATAAACTTTTTGAACTCGTTTCAACATCTTGTATGGAATCGTGAGGAGAATTACAAAACGTTGCTTTTTTCAATTCGCATATTATGTCTAACAGTTGCTGTTCATTCATTTTTTTAAAGTCACTGTATGTTAATATATTATTGCAATTTTTGTAATCTTCTTCAAGAAAACATTTATAAAGTTCCTTTGAATCGGTCTTGCAAATTTTTCTAAAAGATAAATAAATATGTTAAAATGAGATAAAAACTTTAAACCAGCTTGTGTACACTAATTTAGGTATTTAGTGAAAAAAAAAGAAATATATTATATAGTACAAACTTTTTAGTATTGTTGCGTTTCTTAGTAATCTTCTGAAATAATTTAACCCAAAAGGGTGGATGGGGTTTTTTGTCTGTTTTTTCTTGGCATTTTCTGTTCTTAATTTGCTGAACGTTATCTATCAATTCAAGTGACTCGAGATCTTTTCCGTTGTTGTTAATTTCAATTATACAATCCCTGAATTAATATTAAAAAAAGACAAAGTTTTATAAAACATTTGTTTAAACATACTACAAATAAAACATAAGTATTATACATTACGGTGAAAAACTGGGTGTAATTTTTTGTCGTCTTATTATTCTTGGAGTTTTTGAATTTATTACTGGTTTATATTCCTCTTCTGAAAACGTTCATGTATTTATCAAATATCTTACTAATATTCTTAATTTGACTGTTTGGATGGATGGATGGACAGTCTTAAGGTATCTTCAGAACTACTGTATGGATAAGTTTGACATAGATGTAGAAAATAATCTCAAAGAACACATAGGGTACTTAAATTTTGTTTGAATACCGCGCAGACGGAGTCGCGGATGACAGCTAATAAACACACATTTAAAAAATATACCTAGTTTTTTTTGCAAATCCCAAATTGGTTGTAACTAATATAATTATAAGTTAAGTTAACTAAGTTAGCGGCCAACCTTCAAGACAGAAGAGGCACTAGTAGAAGAAGAATATAATTATAGTATTATACTACTTTTTGAAAATTTCCTACCAATGTATTGTGGCAATGTATTTAAACCCATATCACATTGTTTGTTATCTCTTGTACAATCTATACATTTAGGGAGAGGAAGTTTCACCTTGATGGGAGAAGTTTTTGCATTGCAAAGTTTATTTTTGCATTCATTTGATAATTCGTTATCATGATTGTCTCCTAACATACATTTAGGTTCATCCGTATCTGAAATAAAATAATAAATGCTTATATATATGTAAAATTCTAATTAATATTATAATGAATGTTTAGATGGATCGATGGATGGCTGTTTGTTAGAAGGTATCCTCAGAGCTGCATGGATCTCACTGAAAATTGGCACATTAGCTTCGAAAATTAACAACGCGCTCTTATCGATAGACAACCGTTGTTTTTCTCAGTATTACATACATACAATCCAATTTTATTAATTATATAGATATAGATTATCTCTCACCTTGGCAATTTTTTATACAACAAGGATATGGTGAGTGCGAAGACTCAATAGAACTTTGCAAAGATTCATTATCTTCAGGTATATCAAATGATATACTCTTCTGACTCTTGTGTGAACTAACTTTGCTGGGATCTGATTAATAATAGAATTTTAATTAGGTTTCTATAACTTATGTAAGCTTACAAATAACAAATATATTTTACCTTTGAACATTCCCTGCAGGCAGATGTCATATTCAGCAAAATTATTAACATCAAGAAATACTACTGAGGTCCTCTTCTTTACCAATAATAATTTACTTTTTAAATAATTTCTCTGCTGCAATCCAAGCGTCGAAGTATCGTTTTCAATAATTGAATCTCTCTTGCTCATCGCTGCACAATTCACTACTTTTGATTGTTCCTGATTCATTATAGACATAAATTGGAATACAGCTGTAACAAACATTTAATTATCTGAAGTTATAAATGCAAATTATTTTATCACTAGCTGCCCCTCAACTTTGTCTTGTTATTAGTTACTTTTGTGGTATTCCAGACTATCCTCTACATCCATGAAGAATTTCATTGAGATATGTTGAGCCATTTTGGAAAAACATTCCAACAAACATTCACCCATCTATTCATCTAAATATTTCCATTTATAATATTGGAGTTGTTCCTTTTTCTTACCATTTTTTTTGAAATGGCACATCTCAGGTTCACTAACAAGTTTCTGATTCGGGAAAGCATGCACACTAAAACAAAAAAAAATACAAGTTTAATAAAGAGAAAAAATATTTCTGTGCTGTTCTGACATCTTTTGAATCTTTGAAATATATTGGTAATGAATTAGAAGGATATATGAATGAAACCCGGCACATACAATTTTATCACAGATAACTTTTCATACAACATTGTGTTGTCAGTTCACACTGTGTAACCATAATATTACATATGTATATTAACACTTAAAATACAATATTAGAATTAGAACATTATACCTAAACATGTAGCAATCTTGCTTTGTAGGTTTCAATTTTGTGATCACTTTTGATGTAACTTGTTGAGAACACTGGCCATATAATTTTTTTATAATTTTATCTAAATGAATTGTTTTACATTTCATTTTAGCTTGTTTAGAACACTGGCCATATGTGTCCTTTATAATTTTACCTATGTTGTTATTCTTCAGTTTCGTCTTAGCTTGTTTAGAACACCGGTCATATGTACTTTTTATTATTTTACCAAAATTATCCATGCATTTTGGTTTACAAATATTTTTGGGTTTTTCCTTCAAATTTTGCTTACAGTTTTGACAAAGTGGCAAAATTTCTTTCTTACATTTAGGTTTCTTGGGGTAACAATGCTTAGAAGTTACCCGTAATTTAGATTTTTCGTCATTACAGGTATGCATTAATTTGGAAATTTGTCTTAGCATATGTTCATATTCTTTTTCTATACAGCGTCTTTTTTTTATCATACTATCCATAACAGTATTCATATTATCTTTATGGTTTTTACAGCATGGCATTGCAGTCTTCTTTAATAATTCATTATGTAACTTACATGATTGTTCAAAGATGTTAGAAACGCAGTGGCTTTTCTTACTATGAAACATCTTTTTTGAGCATGTTGGATAATGTGGACATTTTCTAGATTTAGACATTATGTAAACAAGTTGTATTCTTTTAACTAGATAAAATTCTTCATTACCAGACAATGGTAACGATGAATTTCTCATTTCTAATAAATTTGCATTTGATCTCATTTTTGTTAAAGAGTTATTACATAATTGTAAATGTTTTGAAAGATTAGAGCTGCTTTTGCTTTCTTTTAATATGTACATTTCTGATGTGGGAGTCCTATGCGATATTTTATTGACACTATCTTTTATTAATCTCTTCTTAATCATGGCTATATTATTTGCACAATTTGTTTGCAAAGTATCTCTTCTGAATTGGTCTTCGACTTTTCGGAGAACATAATAAATGTGGGTCTCAAAGATTTTTGATATTTTATCGTCATTTGTACAAGTGATAGATAATAGATATCTTCTTATTTTTATTTCTTGTGAATTGATTTCAACTTTGGATTTATATGGGAAGAAAATAAAAATATTAACTTTCTTTTTCTTTACCACACATTGGAATAATATGATACACTTATGCCTCAATATAGAATATCTATACCTTTTGGAGATTAATTTTGAGATTGGTGACAATTTAATAATCCTAAAAGTTTTTGGCAATTGCATGCTTCTTTTAATTGACATTCTGTTTGCATCAATTGTTTTACTAACAGTTACAAACATCTGTAGATCATTATTTTTTTCACATTCATCACAAGATCCATCAGTAATAAATCTCAATAAACTAGACAGTTCAAGAATTGGTTTATCATTTCTGCCTGAAATTGAATTCATTATGCTTGGAAGATTTTTCTTTGATATTTTGTATTGCAAATTATGTGGTGATGGATGTACATTCGAAGTCTTTGTAAACTGTTGTAGCTTAATAAAGTTAACTAATTTTTAAAAAATTCAAAACACATTTTTTTTCCATACCACTTTTTCATTTATTCAGATTACGTTACATTTCGTGCATTATTCATACTTTTTGCAAATAGCAAAATGGTTTGTTACGTTAATCTTATAACCATATACTTAATAAACCTGTGTTTCTGTTTACATCATCTTCGAAAGTTTATTTAATGAAAGCTTCTTTTCTATCACACTCCATTTTTTCTCATTATAAAGGTCGCAAAATAACTTATTTAATAATGAAATTTTTAATAAACCATGATTGTGGTATTCAATTAATAATTGCAATTAATTTTTATACGACATAAAATACTATCAGACAGGGACAGGGGGTGACATTTGGTGACACTGCATCAGTGTTGCCAACTAGGCTAATGCAAATGTGCTAAAATAATAATAACACTTTTATTTCATAGACATGGTCCTTAGAATTATTTTAATAAGTAAATAAAATTACACCTCACGTAAACGTGTCCACATGACTAATACTAGACAGTTCAAATCCTCTCTCTATCAACACTGTGTTGATAAGCGGAACATGAGTTGCAGGTAGCTGTTGGCGCTGTACGCACCCGCCGCATCAGGGATGCTGCTCTCTTTCATATCAATGCGACAAATCCGTCAACATTGGCAGCTGCAAACATGCCAGATTCGCTAAAACAATTATTTTACTGGACCCGCAGGGTATCGTAAGCCCTTTGAGTACGCTTCAGTCATAAGCTACTCTTATAAATGGCCTGACAATAAGCTTTAAATAGTATAATTTTAACTGGTGCAGTAAACGAGCCAACATTTCGTTTTTACTGGCAGTGCCCAGCCTTCCATCTCTAAAACTAAGTTATCACTGAGTATATCCGTAACCCAAGGACTGCACTCTATGAACTTTTTTAAAAGGACGGTTATTTTAAGTGCCTGTTGGTATTTAATATGTCTTCGAACCAGCTTTGAAGATCATCACAGTACCGGAATTGTACTTGAGCCCATGGGCTTCAAGTACGATTCTTAACCGGCCGTCCTAAAAGCGCTGCTCTAAATAGAGCGTATCATTTGTGAAAAGATTACTCGATTGGCAGCAAAGTTAACATACTATTTTTTCTCGGTACGCTTGAATTAATCATTGAAAGGGATCTCAATGTTGTAACTTGCTATGAGCCGCTACTTGCCAATTTAAAAGCATCGGAGCTCAACAGGTCGAGTCTATGTAAACTGAACTTTGACCGTCTCACAGCTCATCTCCACGCTGCAACACTAAAAATTGATAATCAATAACTGTTTATGGGAAGGGGCACGGGAAGGGGTGGAAAGTACCGATTATTGATGCGCAATTTATTACTTACGCGTAATTCGAAGTAAATTAATTAAAGATTGGACAGTGATCACAACTCCATTCTTCTTTTTATTTTACGGTTAATAAAAACTGTAATAGGTCTGTTTTCAATAAATAATTTTATCGACGAACTGAAAAAAAATGGCTAACATAGAAGAAGAAAAGCAAGAAAATCCGGAACCTAAGCAGATTGGACACAGCAGCATGTCGCCAGGCAGGTATGAAGAAAATACTGAGGAAGACTCGGCAAATGAATCCCAAAATTCACTGCCGCAATGTAGTAATCAAGGGTTAAGTAGCGATCAAGATGCTGTAGCACACCACTCAAGATTATTTAAAACAAATGAAAATGACACTAAGACCGTTGACTGCGTCAATCTTGATGCTTCATGTGTCCAGAAAGACAAGGAAAGATGGGCCAAATTATTACCAATGGTGAAAAATTTTTATATTGAAGACCCAGAAGTGAGCGAAATGTCGCCCAGCCAAGTAGAAGAATGGCGAAGCGAAAACTCAATTGTTCAAGTATTAAGAACCAATGAAGAACAGGTTGATTTGAAACCAATACCTAACCCAGTGTTAACGTTTGAACAAGCATTCAAAAACTATCCAGAAATTTTGGATGCACTATACAAGCAAGACTTAAAAAAACCATCACCAATTCAAAGTCAAGCCTGGCCAATCCTTTTGGGAGGAGGAGATTTGATAGGGATTTCACAAACTGGAACAGGTAAAACACTAGCTTTCTTATTGCCCGCTTTGATTCACATTGAAGGCCAAATCATACCGAAAGAAAAGAGGCAAGGCCCCCCCGTACTCATTTTAGAGCCTACAAGAGAACTTGTGATTCAAATAAGCAAGGAAGTATCTAAGTATACAAACAAAAATATAAAAACAATTTGCCTATATGGAGGAATACAGAATAAGGAAGATATTTATGATTTTTTAAAAGGTGTTGACATAGTGGTAGCCACACCTGGTAGTCTCAGAAAATATATTGTTGCAAATTATTTACATTCTATGTTCTTTTCTTATATCGTTTTCGACGAAGCTGATAAGCTTTTAGGTGTTGATTATGGAGAGGATGTACAAGAATCTTTGTTAGGTCTGCGGCCAGGTCACCAAACAGTAATGACTGCGGTCACATGGCCAGATCATGTAGCAAGCCAAGTAAACAATTACATGACGGATGCGATTCATATCAATGCAGGTCCATTACACCTGACAGCTGTCCCTACAATCACTCAACAGCTAATATTTGTTGAAATTAGACATAGAGAGACAATCCTATTGAACTTCATTACAAATATGAAGCCAACTGACAAAGTTATTGTATTTTGCAACTCCAAACCCACTGTATTACGTCTAACATCAGAATTATGTATAAATGGTATATATTGCGAATCTTTGTATGGTGATAGAGACTATCATGATCGAAAAGTTGCTATGGAGCAGATTTTAAATGGTTCTGCTACCATCTTAATAGCAACAAATGTTGCTTCAAGAGGGATTCATATTGAAGGCTTGACACATGTCATAAACTTTGATTTCCCTCGATCTATGGTTGATTATATATTCAGAATTGGTAGAACAGGCAGAGGAGGTAAAACTGGGACAGCTATTTCCTATGTAGCAAGATATGATTGGAGACATACCAAAAAATTAATAAGAATAATGAATGAAGCAAACCAAGAAATTCCCCGAGAATTGATTATGGTTGCAGATAGATACAATCAGATTACTGCCCAGTACCAAGGTCAAAGGGACAATGACAACAACAGAGAAATAGAGTTTTTAAATTTTTATGATTGAATTCTCATGATTATTAGATATAAAAAGATTTACTAATGTTTGCATAAGTGTGGTCAAATCATGTTTAAATATTATCAAGTAAATATCTTTGATCTTTACTATATAACCTTGATGTATAATCCATAATACATTTTAATGCATTTATGTATGAAATGTTTCCTGTTAAATGCATATTTTTTTTGAATCTTTAAGATAATGAGATTAACATCTAATTACATTTAAATCCAATCATTGTTAGAAACTAAGATTTGTAAGTTAAGTAATACTTAAAATGCAAGCAACTGCGGTTTGTATCAAAGAACTTATAATTATATGAGCTTTTGCCCTCAACTCTTCTGGCACAGCTATAAAAAATAATGATTTATAGCCATATATTCTTCCACACTCTGAACTACATCTGTTGAGTTGTTCTGGAAAAACCTTGTAACATCTATTCAAACTTTTGCATTTATTATATTAGTAACTAAAAAAGAATAAACAAATGGTACTAGTCCATGAGTATACTATAGTTCTATTTGTCTATACTATAAGTCGCTCATATAAAATATTATGTGACTGTAGCCAGTAGTATAACCCAATTTTTATCTTATATGTGTAAAATTTAACTTATTGGTGTATGTAGTGAAAATGTGCAATAAAAGCTATTATTCAAAGCATTGAGTCTTTATTGTTATGATTTGTTAACTCAATTGCATGATTGCATATCCGAGTTTCAGATAATATTTACACTTATTTTCAGAAAGTAGGCGGTTTCTTTCCTTATATCAAATCAATTTTATTGTTTATTCAGCATTTAGTCTAAGTCTTCAGTTTAAAAATAAGTAGGTAAAGAATATCAACAATTAATTATGGTAATATTTTAAAACAGCAAATCATGCAGTCTTCTCTTAAACTATTTTGTTGTCCGTCCGTCTGTTTTTTGGTGGTTGCAATTTATTAAGAAGAAAAAAATAATAAAAACAGGTACACAGGTACAGGTAAAATAAAGTTAAAGTTCCAAACCTAATTAAAATGTGTATATAAAATAAACATAAAAAAGCCAAAATATGTGTTTTGTGTTGTAAGTATGTAAATTGGATAATCTGGATTGGAGTCTTTTTCAAAAATATTATTATAAAAATGATGAAAATGAACATACTATAAAAAGTATGAAACAATTAAATTTTTTTTCTTCAAATCATTTTATGACTAAAAAACTTCCAAACAATTTAAATTTGACCATTTCCTGTTGTTAAAACCAATTATATGAAAATCCAGGATGATTCACTAGTATACAGTTTTACCTAAATTATTTTTAACAAACTTTGTAGATGCTGATGTTACTAGCAGCAATGTTTTTCTGTTTTTTTTCCTAAATTTCTTCATTGAGTCTCTTGCCCATTTGCACTTATAACTCACTAATAGTAGAAATATTTTAAGAATTTGAATTTTTGCTTGTTATTGTAGTCGTAATATTCACCAACCCATGAGGTTTCCTTACTTTTCATTCATAGAATTATGTAATCATTATAATAAAAAACATTTCGTGTTTTTCGTAATAATATAATATGTAAAATGTATTTAATTTTATTACAAAATGTATCTAACCTAAAACTTCTTTTATAATTTCAACTTCTATCGATGCTTTGCTGGACATAGTTCCCTTCTCTACAAATTAATAAAACACACGCAACGTATTAAGTAAGATTAGCCCACACCGTTACATTTCATACCAATACCACATACATACGGCATGACTTCTCTACTCTAGTATAATTTGAATTTATTTGTGTGTTTACTTGAGTTTTAAGAGGATGATTAATTTGACATTTCACTTGATGTTTTTTTTTTATAAAGCGAACGGGACAAAAGAGCCGCGCACGGTGAGCAATTTGTCAGCTTTAGCAAAGAGTATATAACATAGCTTTTATGGATATATTTATCTGATGTATTTGAGTATCTTTTTGCTTGTATGTACTTTGTAGGAGTAACTAATATATAACGTTAAATTTGCTGAATATCGGTGCTTACAAAGATGTTACAAAAATTTCCCAGAATTTTTTACAGAAATAAGCAATATGAACATATTTTATATACTCTTTGAAAATGAAGCTTGTTTAAAAGAGGTAGAGTACAAAGGTAGAGGAAGACTAAAGCATGGATGGCTTATGTAAAAGAGGATATACGTAGAAAGTAGATTAAGATATGACCGCAAATGTATTTAGTACATACTGTGCCGACCCTCCGTATGGAGATAAGGGCAGGTTGACGATAATTTTCATTGGGAAATATGCTGGGACAAAGACAATAAAAGCTCCTTTACTACTTGAGAATTTATTGCAAATACACCAAATGGTTGTTAAATTATAAAACTATGTTAGCTAAAACCTAAAGGAAATATAGAACCTAAAAATAAAATAAAGAAAAATTAATATTCTTCGCCGCCTTCGCCTTCACCTTCGCCGGAATCCATTCCGACTTCTTCATAGTCTTTTTCAAGCGCCGCCAAGTCTTCACGAGCTTCAGAAAACTCTCCTTCCTCCATTCCTTCGCCAACATACCAATGAACGAAGGCGCGCTTTGCGTACATTAGATCAAATTTGTGGTTTAGGCGAGACCAAGCTTCCGCAATGGCCGTGGTGTTTGAGAGCATGCACACTGCGCGTTGTACTTTAGCTAAGTCTCCTCCTGGCACCACAGTTGGTGGTTGATAGTTAATCCCTACTTTGAATCCAGTAGGACACCAATCCACAAATTGTATCGTACGTTTTGTTTTTATGGTCCCAATTGCAGCATTAACATCCTTGGGAACCACATCACCTCGGTATAGCATACAACACGCCATGTACTTACCATGTCTGGGGTCACATTTTACCATCTGGTTAGCTGGTTCAAAACAAGCATTAGTGATTTCCGCTACAGACAGCTGCTCATGGTAAGCTTTTTCAGCGGAAATGACGGGAGCATAAGTTACCAAAGGGAAATGAATACGTGGATATGGAACTAAGTTGGTTTGGAATTCAGTTAAATCTACATTAAGAGCTCCGTCAAATCGGAGCGAAGCAGTGATTGATGACACGATCTGACCAATAAGGCGATTCAAATTAGTATATGTTGGTCGCTCAATGTCTAAATTGCGACGACATATATCGTATATAGCTTCATTATCAACCATAAATGCAGCGTCGGAGTGTTCCAGAGTAGTGTGAGTTGTCAAAATAGAATTATAAGGTTCTACGACTGCTGTAGATATCTGTGGTGCAGGATAAATGGCAAATTCGAGCTTTGATTTCTTACCGTAGTCAACGGAAAGTCTTTCCATAAGTAGAGACGCAAATCCTGAGCCTGTACCCCCGCCAAAAGAATGGAAAATCAAAAATCCTTGCAATCCAGTACATTGGTCAGCTAATTTTCTCACTCTGTCTAAAACAAGATCTACTATTTCTTTCCCAATAGTGTAATGTCCTCTTGCATAATTGTTAGCAGCATCCTCCTTGCCTGTTATGAGCTGCTCAGGATGAAACAATTGACGGTATGTACCAGTACGAACTTCATCTACTACTGTGGGTTCTAGATCTATAAATACTGCCCTGGGAACGTGTTTACCGGCACCAGTTTCACTGAAAAAGGTGTTAAAAGAGTCGTCACCTCCGCCAACAGTTTTGTCTGATGGCATCTGTCCATCTGGCTGGATTCCATGTTCCAGGCAATATAACTCCCAACATGCATTTCCTATTTGTACGCCCGCCTGACCCGCATGTATAGATATGCACTCACGCATTATAAAATATTTACTATGTGCTTAAAAATATTATGGAATTTCTTAAACTGTTTGCCAATAATCCAGTTATACAAGGCCCAAACAAACAATGAGCTCAACAAAGCAACAAATAAAATTTTTCATAATTCGAACATTTTGCTTATGATCTAAATTTAAAATATCGCACTTTAAAATTTATTTGTCAGTCAAGATTGTTGGTTTGAAAAAAAAGTTTTATACCTAAAACTCGTGCGCAGAAGCTTTGCCGATGACCTCACAACACCACGGGGTAAATGACGGTACTGGGCAAATGAGTACGGTATAAGTGGGAGAGGGAGTACTCGGCAAAACTGCGCACGGCCAATGTTATATAGTAGGTAATTTATAGGTATTCAGATCGTTGGTGGCTCAGTAGTTACAGCACTTGACTTGTAATCTGCAGGTCCTGGGTTTGAATCCCACCATCTACCAATGTCGATTTTGATTTACATATGTACATTTATCTATATATTTACGGTGAAGGAAAACATCGTTATGCAACCTGCACATATCTGCAAAGATATGTGTGAAGGCCAGCGTGGTTGACTATGGCCTAATCACCAGTAACTTAGGGTAGGCTCCTAACCCCTCGGTCAGGACATATTTAGAGCTGATGATGAATGAATGAATTATATATATCATTTAACGTAGTAGCTTAAATAGGAAAGTAAAACACCTCGCCATGTTGTGGAAAACCTATGGAAACTATTTTTTTGTAATGACAGTAACAGTAATTTCAATAGAAAGAAAAATTAGTTGTCATGTTGTCATGGCAATATCATTATTGATTGTTATCGAATTGACGAAGTAATTTATTATATCGCGATTCTTCTTGAGTTAGTGATTATTTGATGCTAAAAATAGTCTCAGAGAAAAAAACAGTCAATTAACATTGAATAAGTTCAAATTACTAGATTTTATTTTTAAATGACATTATTTCGACAGATTTCTTGAGGATTGAGGTACACTCTGCATAGTGTTGCAATATCAAAGGAGTTCGTGGCGCCCTCAATGCCATGTCTACAGTTCTAAGCGCTACTTACTTCATATAGATTTTTTGTGGGAAAACTACTGCCCAAATCAAAATTTTACCAGAAAATAAAATTTCTGTAAATTAAACTTTCTACCTAACAATAAAAGTTGACTGCGATTACACAGGCGGTTGCAAGAATATAACTAAAACTTTGGATAGATATTACCTAGTTGGGTTAAATCGTCAAATTTTCGACCAAGGAATGTGTGGTACTCCGTTGTACACTTTTTTCCCGGACACCTGTATACTCTTTGGTGGATACCTTGAAAGGAAACGGTTGATTCAAATAGTTCTTTGAAACTGAATCAATACTCATCCCTATTTGCAGTATTTTTACATTTTGCCGGGGGTTGGCATACGAATTAGTTACATACTCTTTGGGGGTTGGTGGTGGGGGTGATACTTTGTTCTTTGGGTTTATAACATTATTGTTATTTTACTTTATCTTGTTTACGTACCTAATAAGTGTATTTGTGTATTAAAAACAACAACAATTATGAAAAGGTACGTTGTATAATTATAAAATACCTTGTCCTAGTTTTGTTAAATTATTAGCCTAGCCTTAAGGCAACAGCAAGTTTTACCCTCAATAAAAAGAAAATATTTAATGTATCATATCAAGGAAAACTTGATTGGAATTTGAAAATCTTAAAAAGAAATAGACAATATTATTGTATGAACACTTTATTTTCAAATTGAGTAAACGCAATAGGAAAACAATTATAATACTTCTGAAGATTTTTGACTATATGCCATTTAGATACCACGTGACAATTTAACCATAAATTAAAAGTGACACGATTTTTCAATATTTTACAGGTAGCAAATGAAAATAGGTTTAAAACAATATTATAAACTGCTCTAAAATACATAATAAAAAACTAGCAGTCGTCCGCTACTTTGTCCGCGCGGAATTAAACAAAATATAGCGTAAAATTTCACCTGGTGATAGTTTAGCTTCATGTTAGATAGAATTTTTCAAATTGATTCAATAATTTCTGAGCCTACTCAATGCAAACAAACAATCAAATAAATAAGTATATTTTTCCTTTTCTCTACATTAAATATTAAGGATATTATTATTTATAGAGGAAAAAAGGATATCCTTTCTTCTTTTAAAACTCATCATATAAACATGTTCAGCGGCCAGTCTATGAATTACATTTACGGCAAGTTGACTCCTTATGAATGCGCAAACTATTGGCATTACCTTATTTAAAAGTCTTCCATACTAATACAGCAAAATTTTAGTTCCCATAGTACAATACTTACACAAAAAGTATGTTGGTGACTTTATAAAGTAACAGTCAGATATGAACTCAAACGATCCTTTCTAAACATTTATAGGAAAACATTAATAACAGCATGAAACATTAAAATAATTTTCTGTTCTTAAAAGTATTAAAGTCATTTCTAAAGTAATTCTGCCAAAGGAATAAGATAGAGGATGATATCACTTTAGCCCTCTTTATATTTACTTTGGACCTCTAATGCTTTTACAGTGCTCCTCTAGGTAGTAATTAATAGAAATCCCTATACAAAACTAAAGTTTCTAAACCATTATCTATGCTCTGAAAAATATTTGTAAACATGAACTAATAGATTTTTATCTTTGCAGGACAAATTAAAAAAAAGCTTGAATTAAATCTAGATTATCTGTGCCCAAAAAGTTTGATATCAATTTTTAAGTAATTCTGCTAAAATCATATTTCTCCATACAAACTTTGGAGCTTTAGGAAATGATTTTCGTAAAAGTCTCTTATAGCGCTCAAATGTGTATTGATAGAAGCTCCTATGCAATATTTCTAGTCTCTAGACCTTGTATCTATGCTATGAAAAATATTTGTAGATGTGAACTTTTACCCCCATTTTTAGACCTTAAGAGGTAGAATTTAAAAAAAGCTTGAATAACATAGTTAATTATTTGTTCTCAAAAGTGTTAAACTGTTAAACAATTTTCAAGTAACTCTGCTGTAGAAATAACATCTTTCCATATAAACTTTGGACCCCTAATTTAAACCTCTAGAAGAAATCTTTTATAGAGCTCAACTATGTAATAAAAGAAACCTCATATGCAAAATTTATTCTACATTATGAAATATAAATATAGATACAAACTTTGACCCTTATTTTTAGACCTTAAAAGTATTAATTTGTAAATATCCTAAAAGGTGTAGTGCTATTTGTGCTGAAAAGCATTTATCTCAATTTTCATGAAATTCAGCCCAAAGTATAACCTTGCTTCATACAAACTTTGGACCCTTAGAGAAAGAATTATGAAAAATCCTTTCTTAGAGAATGCCTACTAAGTAATAGGAACCCTGTGTGGAAAATTTCAAGTCTTTAAACTCAAACATTTTGGCTTTGCGTTGATAGTTTAGTCATTCAGTTTACGCTTTTACAAAAACCTATCTTATTCATTGACTCCTCTAGCGCAGCAACCTAAGGGTCTTGGCCTCCGACAAAAGAGATCGCCACCGCTGCCTACCCAGCGCCATCTCCTGCCATCTTTAAAAATTTTATCTTAAATAATTATTTACAGAAGGAAAGTTCAAGCGCAACGAAAATTTGCACAAGGTGTATATATCCCACCAAATACACAAAACACAAATATTGACAAAGTTACAAATCCTTCAACACCAAAGGACAATGATATTAGAAGCAATGTTTTTCACAGTAGCACCTCAGCCAAAAGTCTTCTTGACGTCATTAGTTTTCAAAGTGAGTACATCTCAATCATATAAAAACACATAACGCTATAAATTTTTCTCTCAATCATGATGTTGGGTTACATCACTTTGACTTTGGCATTGAAACCATCATCACCTACACACCTATCAACATTAAAAAGTTGGATATTTTGAATGTGTTTATAATATTGAAACATTTCAGATCTACATAAACATAGGGAACCGATCGTTTTATTGGAGCGATTAAGACATTACCCAGAACAACTCCAAGCATCATCATCTGACACATCCCAAGAATATAGTATAAGTAAAATCAAAAAAGTGGCTACAGCAATTAAACATAATATGTGCCTTAGACCTAAGAAAAAATTTACCAAATTTGTTAAAAGGCTAAGAGAGAAAAATATTATAAAAAGTAAACGGGAACCCAAGGTTAACAAAGATGCATCAAATTTAGAAGCGATAGATTCTTGCAATGAAGATGACAAACCTTTAATGTACCTTGCCAAAGAGGAGAAAAATAATAAAACAGTGAACAAGACGTGTAGTAATACTAACAAAGGTAACTAACATGTTACTTAATATTAAATCATTAATGTTTCTCTTAATAATTAATCATAACAATTTAAAAGTAATGGATTTTATTATATACAATTTCTACAACAACAGTTTTAGGTAGAAATATGTATTAATATCAAATAAGGAAATGAAATATTTAAAATTATTTCAGAAAAAGAGAAGAAAGTAAGTTTTAACATTGGCCCCCATGAACATTTGTCATCTGATGATTATGAACCCCAACAAAAAAGTGGACAACAGTATGACCCACACGGTCACAACTCAGCAACACACAAAGGTAATATTAACTCTACTAAATGACATAACTTTCATGAGGATTTACATTTTATTACTACTTATTGATATCATCTAAAACATGGTTTTAAAATCTCCTCAGGGCCAGGGGCCATATGTAGGTTACTTTTAAAATTTAAACTTAAAAACATCAGGATAAACTACTGTAATTATGTTTTGATGTTATTTCTGATCATTCATCTTCTTCACAAGTCTGGCTATCCAAAGACTAACATTGCTATGCAAAGCTACATGCAAATCATCACTTACTTTCAAACAATTCCTCGCCAGGTTTACCCCATTTGCCATCAACAAAATTCTTGATTACATAAATAAATTACTCAGTTTCAAATTTAAAATCAGTCCAGAACCATATTATGGCCGTCAGCAGTAATTGATCTGATTTTGGAGTTGTTTTTGAGTTTTGAGTTCCAGAGATACCTTCAAACAAACATCCATCGATCTAAACATTTGCATTTATAGACTATTTGATACACATTACATGTCAATCAACAGGATAAGAAAAACCTAATCGATAAAATGTAATCAGAATAAAGACATATAAAGTCCAAAGTGAGACTCTATTTAAATGTTTTACGAAATATTTGTAATTTATAGATGGACTAACAAAGCAATCAATAGTTTACACTCGGTCACATGGCAGAACTACAGAGAGTCGTGAATATGAGCAGGAAGTACCCAAGGGACCTGGTCGGCGACATCGCAGTCGATCCATACTCAAAACAGGTATAACATGCATGATTCTTGTAAAGTTGTATCCTAATCCAACTCCCCTTTGTCTATTAAAGAAAAAATCAAGAAGTAAGAACTTTTAAAGCTATAAAATATTTAAGATTTACCATCACGTTTTATTGTTTTTGTTTTCCGTCAGCTTTATACAGTGATAAGAAGAATTTGTTTTACATTAAAAATGCATGGTTTGGTTATTTGAGTGTGTTGGGGGTATAATAAAGACTGAGCCAGTTAAAGTTGTATATGTATTGTATATCAATAACTTTACAGCTCAAAATAAACAGCCATATATAAACTTTTTCAAGTATTAAGACATACTGCTTTCATATAAGTCTTAACTATGACATATATTGAAATGCAACATGGTTAAATCTTAACCTAACAAGAATCTGAGAACAAATCCATGTAATGTGTAAAGAATTAGTCATTGTTGATTCTTGGGTTGTGTCGTTTTTCAGTGTATGGTGATTGGGTTCATGGGTTGTTACACTTTAGTCCTAGTAAAATGGTTAGAAGATATAGAAGCATTTTCTAATATTGATTCGAAATATTGATATTAGATAGCGTGAAAAGACAGCGCTTGGGCACCCGCTCGAGTCGACGGTCGGTGGCATCAGCCAGCGAATCAGACAATGAAGAGCTGCAGGAAAATGACGAATCGGGATGTACTAGCTCACCAAAGAAGACAGGTAAGAAATACACTTTTATTAACTCCTTTGGTACTGTTATTAAAGTGTTGAAACAACTGTCAAAATACTTTAATTTGCTAAAGTATATTAATAAACTAAAACAATAGTTATAGATGACACAAACAAGAATGGTTTACCAACTCAACGGCTTACTTCCCGTTCTCTGGATGATGCTTCTAAATCAAGACAGGAAGAACCATGTAATGGACAACCACATAGTAATAGCTTATTGCAAAATACAGGTAAATAGTTATAAGACATATTACTATTGATCTTGTTCAAATCATACCCTAAATTATTTTTACAAGCAACAAGAGCAAACCAACATAATAAATTATGCAATTGCAATTTTATACTGTAGATGCAAAAAGTATGCAGCATATTTTGATTAATCTAAAAAGCAATTTGGCATGTGATGTAAGCTTCTAAGGGACCATCATAGCTACTACACAAGCTTCACTTTATTGATTTGATTTATTATGTATTGAAATCCGTATTTTTATAGTTTTTTGTATTAATTCATTGTAGACAAGATCAGGAATTCTGGTGAAAAGGAAACGCCTCAAAAAACAAGTAGCCAACCATCAACACCCAACAAAAAGTTAACCGCAATTACAGGTAATTATTGCATATTGAATTATAAAATACTTAGAATCAACAAAACGCATTAAACTTATTACTTCTCAAGCTAATATAAAATGTCTGAAATGTTTTTTCTAATCTCTTTACATTATTTCGTGTCATATTTAACTAATGTTAAATCCCTATTTGTCTTAACATTTCCTATGTTACAATTGTTAACATAACAAATAATTATATTCAACAGTGACTACCACAGCTGAAATAAACACCACAGCCAAGTCCTCAACATCTCTGCGGCTTCTTAAGAAAAGACCATCCAATACAACACTAGGTATGCTTTGTACTCAAGAAATGGTATTAAGGTTATTACAACGAGCATGTATGTGTTATATGAATATAAATGATGCGAGAGAGGTGTGTCAACACCGTGTCAAATGGAGGTCCGTCTTGGACTCTGCCTATCCCTTTGGGTCTTGGGTGTGAATTATAATGTTTTGTTGCATACAATTAATACTGTCTTTATTTTGTTTATGGAAACTGTAGTAATGTCTATCTATATCATGAATTTGTTAAAATTTTGCCAACAGAATCCTTAATACAATCCGCATTGGAAGTTCAGCCTATTGTCAAAATTGAATCTCCAGGTCGTTTCAGTCTTCTAGGTAAATGGAATTCTATTTACTTTATGCAAAATGTATTGTTTATGTAAAACATATGATTGAAGCAAAATATTTAAGTTTAATTAAGTACATGCAATGTGCAATTAACAAGACATTTGTAAGGAAATGTAAATGTAATAGTAATAGTATTATTTTACTCAACAGAAAAAATTATGATTACTAACTCTTCAAAATCATCACAAGTCAAGTCTATTGGTGAAGGACAAAAATCAAAATCTGAAAGTAAGTGAGATTTGTATAATTTTCAATCCATAATTATTAAGTTAGTTCTTTTATTTACTGTTTTTCGTTACATTAACAGATTCTGATGCAAATACCAAACCTACAACCAGTACTGATGACACAGTTTCAACTTCTGAAGGTTAGTTTTAAGTTGTATCAAACATTTATTAAAATAATATCGCTTTTTTGTTTTTGTTCTAAATGAATTATTTATTTTTAGATGATCACAATAATGAACCATCAACAGCTGAGAAATATTTAAACGCACCATTAATTTCTAGAAGGTCACGTACCGTACATATACCTTTAGATAAAATGTCTAAAACAAATCAGGACAAAAGAAATATTACAAAGAAGCAAATATCTAGCGCAATAGAGCAATCTGATTCTATTGATACAACTTCAAAAATTAAAAAGCATCAAATAAATTGCCCATCTAAAAACTACCCAAGTATGAAAGATGTTGTCTATGCAGACCCTAAAGATTTGGTGAACCGATGTGAACAATGCGATTATTGTGCATTCGTCGACAAAGTACAGTGTGTATCAAATATGTTTAAAATACAATACTGTCGAAAGATTATAAAATTAAAAATATACGGATTTGATGCCGAAGACGAGGAAACAGAAAAAAGTGAATCCAATATATCAAGAACGAAGAAGCGTCAGGGTAACGAGCCGAATACTGATTGTGATAAACAAACGTGTTATTTAATTTATGATAAAGATTCAGATCATGTTGTGGAAGTAAAAAGAACTCTGTGTGCTAATCAGGTGGCACATATTGAAAGTGCGAATATTGTCCCCAAGACATCGAACACAAAAATCATGACAGTTACTGCACTTGATCGTGACTATCTTCTAGATGATATCATAAATTTTGTCTTATCAGAGAAACCCAAAACCAAAGTGGAAACTCCCTCACATTCTGTTAATGGTGCTAAGTCTGTATCAGCCCAAAAGCCTACAAATGCTTATAAAGTAAACGGAGATCATAATGGTACTGAGCAAAAGAGTTCAGCTATACCAAAGCCTGTGCCTAATGCGAGACGAACTGATGCACCAATCTTCTTTCCTAACGAACAAGAATTTAAGGTAAATTTGTTTAAATAATTGAATGTATAAATAAGCTATACTAAAGTACATTTTATCATCAGCTCACTATACATCACCACTAAGGGGTTCGGGCTCGGAGTCTATCCTAAGTTAGGGGTGATTAGGCCATTGTCAATCACGCTGGTCCAGTTTAGGTTGGTTGATTTTACACATATCTTTGAACTTCTTCGCAGATATGTGTAGGTTGCATGATGACGTTTTCTTTCACCGTAAGAACGTCGAGTACATGTACATATGTAAATCGAATATCGAAAAACACATTGGCAAATGGCGTGATTTGAACCCAGGACTGCAGATTACAAGTCAAGGGCTTAACCAATGGGCCACCGACGCTCTCGTAATAGTACATGACTAAAGTTATTAATTTTTCCAGGACCCCATTGCTTATTTCACTAAAATTATGCCTTTCGCTGCGAAATATGGCTTATGTAAAGTTGTGGCTCCGAAGAATTTTAAACCAAAGTGTATGTTAGATGATGAAGTGCGCTTTGAAGTGACGAACCAATACATATCTCGTCTTTATAAGAGATGGGGACCAGCCTCAAGAGAATTATGTGCTATTAAAGCTTATTTAGCTTCCCAAAGTGTGATCTTCAGTCGGCCGCCTTTGGTTAGTAATTCCGGATGTCACAATATATAAATACCCAAAAGTATATAAATGTAACATGTACAATAATTCTATGTTTGAACTAAATTAATAATTTGGAGCTTTTACAATATTGTATCACCTATGTTTGTATTGTTTCCTATATTTTTGTAATGTTTACACACATGCAAATCACAACCATTAGTTTCTTTTTTCTACTCTTAAATCTTCTATATCAAGATGGAGTTTTGGCTGATAAGCCAGTTTGTCATTAAAATATTTATGTACTGCTACTTTAATATTTCAAGGTATTATATCTAATTTAAGTCAATTTTTTTCAGCTCGAAGGAGTTGAGGTCAACTTACCGAAGTTATATTATTTGGTACAAACTCTGGGCGGCCTAAAAGAGGTCATCGAAAAGAAGCGCTGGACTAAAGTAGCTGAAGAAATGAATCTTTCCAAAACGCCAAAAATCGAAGTTAAATTGGATCAAATATATGTTAAATACATATTGCCTTATGACACGATGTCAGATGGTGAGTATTCATTACAGATTATTATAATCAGGTCAGAACGTAAATCCTGATTCTCCGGTGATGAAACATTCGTAGAAAACATATGGATTAGATAAAAACTTTACCTTCCCAAGTCAGTGGGTTAAATAGGCAAAATGAAAAGGTAAATGCATTGGTGTAGACATAGCTATTAAGAAATTTGATTGCAGCAGATGTTTAGGCTACCTACTTTCTAGTTTAATTCCTTTTTCGTTTGAATTTTTTTTGTAATAAATCTTTTTTCACTAACTCCAACAATTGTGACAGATGAGCGGACAGATCTTATGAAAGCAGTTGATAATCACTGGAGCAAGAAACACAAAAAAATGCTACAACGTGCTATGAAGCCATTACATAGACAGAAACGACTCCTAGACGAATCTGAATCTTCCGAAGAAGACATTGATGAAGATGTATATGTATCGGGAGCACTGGCCGAAGCAGAGGACTGTATCAGCAATGGCAGGCAAATGAATCTGCTCACTTTTAAAAAGGTATGTTATGATGCATTTTTAAATTAAGATGTTGAGTTATAATTGGTGAGTTAACTAATTACTGAATTTTAGGTGGCAAGTAAATGTAAGGAAATGTACATTCCAAATAGTAACCAAAATACTCAGATTGAAATAGAACAAACATATTGGAAAATGGTTCTTCTTGCCCAAGACCACATTTGTGTTAATAACGCATCAATCGACACCGGCGAGGAAGGATATGGTTTCACTAAAGATCAACGAGACTCTTATGGGAAACATCCATGGAATCTAAAGGTAAAAACTAACCTATTGCTTACCAACAAACAGTATTATGACCAAAGTAAATAAATGATTTTCCACTTTATGTTACTACTACTAAATACTACTTAAGTCCAGTTTTTATTTTAAAAAAGGCAATTAATTTAAGCTTGTGCTAAGTTCTAAAAAAGCTAAAGCCCAGTTTAATCCATTCATTGGATTTAGAAACCCTTAAACATAAGCTTTAAGCATTTGGCTTGTAAATATATAAATGTCTTTTTGTTATAGGTACTTAGTCAGAATAGTGGGAATGTTCTAAGATTTTTGGGACCAGTACTGGGAGTGACAGTTCCCACATTGCATCTTGGGATGGTCTTCTCAACCAGCTGTTGGCACAGAGATCCCCACGGACTTCCCTGGATTGAATACATGCATACTGGACCTGGCAAAATTTGGTACTTTGACATTAATAACATTTATCCCTTGTTAGTTCATATGCTTCCTTTCAGAGAGGATCAACCCTATCCTAAGTATCTTTATCTAATAAAAAACTGTAAATTAAACTACTTGCTGTAATGTTATAACACTAGTATTTCAACATATTGGTATGTACAATATGTTTTTATACAATGAAAACCCATTCTTATAATTTATCATATAACAATAATAAACATTTATGTGTCATGTTTCAGGTATGGCATTCCCGATGAACAAAGTGACAATTTCCGGAGAGCCGTAGAACAGCTATGCCCAACATCATGTCAAAACAAATCGATTTGGCTTCCGTCCGATATTACAATGATCCCACCAGACCTGCTCTTGCTAAATAATGTATCAATATCTAGAGCAGTTCAAGAGCCGGGTCAATTTATTTTGGTTTTTCCAAAGGCATACTCATGTTCTATTGCAACTGGATACACTGTATCTGAGAGTGTATATTTTGCTACTAATTCATGGTTGGAAACAATTGATCAAGTGTTTCAAGTAAGCAATATTGAATTTTATATAAATAAAGCAAATGTTAAGAAAACATTGAAATTTTTACCCAAGTACTAGTTCCGGCAAAAACTTCATTTAAAACGAAAAACATTTTATTTTGCGTATTCCTTTGGGTCGATAGGCCTACCGATCGATCGTCTCAATACCGCATTCCTCATTAGGCCAATTGAATCCATAGAGTCAAGAAAAATATTTATAATGGGCCGGTTGGCTCAATGGGAAGCAACCACTTTACTTAATGTATGGAAATATTTCAATCATTAAATTACAATTGAATTTCAAAAATAATATTTTGTTGTAGTAGTTGTAGTATTTTTATATGTAATCAAATGTAAAGTAATGTGTATCTTTTCTTTTTTGTTATATTTATAGGAAGTGCGTCAGAGCTGTGAACCTACAATGTTCTCGCTGGAACATCTGCTGGTGTCTGCTGCGCGTGACTTGCGAGCGCCAACTGAGGTTCTCAAACTGGTCCATGTTCTCCTCGGGAAAATCATACGAGAAGAATTGAAAAACCGCAATGCCCTCGCCGCATATAAAATTCTGGTACGGCACCGTGTTGCAATTTAAGTCACAATATTAATATGTTCATTGCCACCTTAAAATACTGACAAAGAATTAACACTTAACATTTAATTTTAATAAAGATTAAAAATTATGTATGTGAATATATTGTGACTACTATTGCTTACAGGCATTGTTTTATTTCACAAAATAGATACATATAAAATGTTTAACTTTTATGACTATTATTTTACAGAACTACAACCCACAACAAAATAGGCTTACTCGGAAGCGACCCGCAGGCGCATGGAATGTTCGAGATCAAGACGAGTGTGAGATCTGTCAAGCGACCTTGTACCTCTCAAAAGTAAGTGTAACTCAAATAATATCATTTTTTCAATGTCTGTTTTGTAATACAAAGTTTACAGAAGTTCGACTTAATGAACCAATTAGAAGCAATGCCTGTTTTACATTATATCAGTATAGCACAGTATCGCTTTAAGTTAGCGCTGGTACACAACTGGCGTCATTAAACCAATATAGTCCTGCGCTACTGTCTTACTGTACTGGCATAATGTAAACCGGGCATTATATTACTTTTATACTGGAATAGGTACACCAAGTTTCTAATATAATTTAAGCACTCAATCACCATATTCAGTTAATGTCTGCATCAAAAAAGTTATACCAATTGATTTTTATTTTTTAACATAAATTTATGTTGTAGGTGAGAGGATTGACAGACAAGAAGCGGTCAGTGTGCCTTCAGCACGCCCTGCAGTTGCTTGACACTGAAAAGAACAAGGAATGTGACTTGACCGGTGTTGAGCTTGAATTATTCTTTTCTGATGCAGAATTAGAAAGGATTATGACAAAAATCAAAGCTCGTATCTAAAATGGACTTAACATAAGTACCACCGATTCGCGCTGCGAGTTTATTACGTGAATATCGTATGTAATTCCTTAGGTTACTCTAAAACATGAGGTTCCAATATAATACTCTATATCTTCGTCCTTATTTACTTTAGTTGTAATTATTAAAAATAATGCTTTATAATTATGTCACATGGAAAGTCATAATGTTTGCTTATTATGTATTATTTGGCATATACAGACACTATATGTCCTTACCAGATATATTTTTGATAGATCAAAAATAAAGAAAAGGACAATGGGCCGAATGTATTCATAATATATTTCCAATTATACCAGAAAAAAATAAGACACAAAGAAAATTATCAATGTAAATGACTTAAAAGACTGGCAACACTACGCTTTACTACGCCTTTAGTCATGTAATTTCCAATTTCGCAAACTTTTTCACCATTATACAGTGAAAATGTACTTAAGTTTAATTTGTTATATCGGTACAAAGAAAGTATTAAGAAATCATTATTCCGTCACATTTTTTTATACTCAAAATTTTAGTTGTAATTTAATTTTAAGTGAAATTGTACCTTATACTTATGTTTTTGTTTATGTTTAGTTTGCTTTGATTTTGATTGTATTTTCACTATAAGAATGATGAATTAAACCCAATGAAAGGTTGTCCGATATATTCGTGACGATTTTCGATATGTCGCGCGAGAAGAGACTAATCATGTGATAAATTCTAATACTAAATATATAAAAATACTGGCTAATGTAATGATAAATTCTGAAAAGTATTGCACTTAACAAGATTTAAGATAGCAACTGAACAAAAACGTCCAGAAATAACGAATCGGAAAGGAGTCATATTTTATCAGGATGTTGCTCGAACTCATGTGAGTTTGACAACATTTTTTTTGGAGTTTGAGATGTTTTACCCCGTTCATCGTAATCTAGAAACCTCGCGCTCCCGGATTTCCACCTTTTCTAGTCTGAGACGATCTGGAAAAACGGAATTGTATGGTAAAAAATGATTAAAAAAAATAACCAAAAATTAAACTAGCTGAGTATAAATTTCTCCTAAATATCGGCACAAACTTATCGGACAGCCCAATATAATTGAATAAGTATATTCTGACAGTACTATTACGATTACATATACATATGAAAGATGCAGAACAACGCAGTCAATTATGTTAATCTGGATCATACCAAATTTTGTCATTCTTTTGCATACTATTTTGAAATATACATTAGTTTTGTATTTTAACTGTAAGAAAAATGAATCAAAGTCATAGAATAAGTATACTGTGACAGTACTATTAAGATGACGTGTATAAAAAAATTCTAAACACCGCAAGTTATTTCTTTAATCTGGATTAAACCAAATTTTTTCATTGCTTTACATACTTCTTTAAAATAGATATAAATTAGTTTTGTATCTTATCTGTAAGAAGAATGAATTAAAGTCATTGAAATGTATAATAGAATAAGTATACTGTGACAGTACTATTAAGATTACGTATATAAAAAAATTCTAAACATCGCAAGTTATTTCTTTAATCTGGCTTAAACCAAATTTTTTCATTGCTTTGCATACTTCTTTAAAATAAATATAAACTAGTTTTGTATTTGAACTGTAAGAAGAATGAATTAAAGTCATTGAAATGTATAATAGAATAAGTATACTGTGACAGTACTATTAAGATATATAAAAAAATGCTAAACACCGCAAGTTATTTCTTTAATCTGGATTAAACCAAATTTTTTCATTGCTTTGCATACTTCTTTAAAATAGATATAAATTAGTTTTGTATCTTATCTGTAAGAAGAATGAATTAAAGTCATTGAAATGTATAATAGAATAAGTATACTGTGACAGTACTATTAAGATTACGTATATAAAAAAATTCTAAACATCGCAAGTTATTTCTTTAATCTGGATTAAACCAATTTTTTTCATTGCTTTACATACTTCTTTAAAATAAATATAAATTAGTTTTGTATTTGAACTGTAAGAAGAATGAATTAAAGTCATTGAAATGTATAATAGAATAAGTATACTGTGACAGTACTATTAAGATTACGTATATAAAAAAATTCTAAACACCGCAAGTTATTTCTTTAATCTGGCTTAAACCAAATTTTTTCATTGCTTTACATACTTCTTTAAATTAGATATAAATTAGTTTTGTATTTTAACTGTAAGAAGAATAAATTAGTCATTGAAATGTATAATAGAATAAGTATACTCTGACAGCAATTACGTATATAAAAAAAACTAGGTCGACTGGAAGTACCCTTTAGGTTTTAATTTTCTTACAAGTAATTACTAGTTTAAAGTGCGCCTTAAGTTGCCTTTTCTTTTCATTTCGTTTATATCAAGATTCTAGGTCGTCGAAGTACCCAATTACGCAATTAAAAATAATTTTTTTATATGATGGAACTAAAAAATTACGAGTTTCGCAATTTTTCCTTTATCTGTGCTTTACGACGTTGCTTCGTGTCATATTTCAAGATTCTAAGTTCACGGGAAGTACCAGGAAGTACCCTGTAGGTTTTGATTCCCTTGCGAATCTCGAAAATTTGCGTAAATTTGCGACATTAACGGTTGTATCTTTTGATTTTGTTGGCTTAGGAGTTTTATTTTTTCATAGCACCTAGCGACCGCAGACTTGTGTATTTGATATAACTTCCAGCGTGATACCTTCACGCGTTTTTGAGAAAAAGGGTCTTGACAGACAGACGGACGGACGACAAAGTGATCCTATAAGGGTTCCTTTTTTTTCTATTAGGTACGGAACCCTAAAAATGCTAAACACCACAGTTCATTATTTTAATCTGGATCTTGCCAAATTGCTTTTATATATTGTTTTAAAATCTTACTTTTTACCAATGTTATAAATGCAAAACTGGATGGATGGATGTTTGTTAAAAGGTATCCCTAGAATGGCTGCATGGACCCTGCTGAAATTTGACAAAGATGAACATATTCTGTAAGAACATTGAAGACTGTGGAGCCCTCATGACAGGGTTGTTTTATTTTTGGCCAGGCTTTAGATAGTGAAAGACGCTAGAATGCCAAAATTGCATTGGATAGCCAATAAACGATGGAAAATATAACCAAACAGCATAATATAGATATGCCACAAATATAGTTCGACAAGAATCTTATGGCAGTTGGAAAAAATGTGAACTAATAGTGTCAACTTGACAGCATGATATTTTGCCCAAATGTTGGCATTTACATTTCTATATTTTCGAAATTATAGAAAAAATATAGCCATGATTTGCTAAAATGCGACAACACGTTGATTATCCTAAACAAATATTACCTTGCGCTTATATGAATAATCCTAATTTATATTTTGTGCATGTACAGTCAACTGCATAAATATATTACGAAACTTATATCGGTCTTCTTTTTCAGAAATACTTATGCACGAATTGGTCGATAGCATGTATCGATGGTAGATCTATACAAGTGTTTGAAGCTTTGTAAATGTATACATATTTATGTAGCTTATTGTACTAATTTACACAAGTAGTAAGCAATTACTAAGGAACTAAAGTTACAAGTTGCAAATCATTTGCTTTCTGTTGATTTTTCTTTCAACATAGAAAAATTACGAAAGAAGTAAGGAAATTATTGCGTACTAGAAACCCTAAAATTCTTTTACACCCCTTCTGTCAATGTCACAAAACTTCTAGTCATATAGCTACTCTTTGGTACAGTGCTCTAGTGCTCTTTGGTAAAAGCAGTAATAGAGAACGTGAGAACGATCCACCCACGGGCCTGCCTGGCCTGCTGGTTAAAAAAGTAACAGCAGTCTTGAAAAAAGAGATGTAATTATTCCTGAAACCACCTAAAAGTGAGTTAGTACAAAATGTTACAATTTACAAAAGTTTCATTAACATTTGATGTAAATTTCATAGTTCTAATTGTTTTGTTTATTACTTACGTTGTAATTACTTTAATGTTTATAGTATGAACTTCAGCCAGTTGTGAAAGACAAAACGTTTGTCTTGTTTTATTTAGGCATAACTCGATTGTTTAGGTTTCTTCCTTTATATTGTTGTAATATTTAAGAAGTTAAGTAGATTGAAATTTAGCAGTTATATTAACATTCTGTCATTGTTTTTTCTAAATATATACTGCAGTCCGTTCACCTATTAGTGTGTCACACTTTTCGTAGGTAGATATTTTGAGTGCGCTGAATACGAATTTAGCAAACTACATTATGTGTGTGAGCAAGAGTTTAATGTTTATTATATTATTAAAAGTTTTTGGTATTGTATATTGACTTACAATGACTTTCATTTATTTAACTGTTAAAACTTTTCGTTATTGCTACTGACAAAAAATATTAGGATTGAATTTGATGATGATGATAATATTATGCCATATTTGTAAAAGATAACATCAACAAAAGAGTCTTAAATCTATAATATTAAATAAAATATTAAAAAACGAATAATTAACTTAAATATATTATTAAAAGGAGGAGAGCTAACTTTGTTTTGAGGAAACATATTTCAGCTTATTGTTGTGTTGTGCATTGTGAATTTTGTCGGTATTTCTATATAGAGCTGTATTCAGTGAACTTTAATAAAGGTAGGTGGTTCCACTGGAACTTTGCCAAATATTACTCAGTACATTATTTGATCAGAACGAACACTCATTGCATGTTGGGATAAATTGGGAGAAAGATCAATATGCATTTATTATTTCAATTTTTCATCACACTTTTATTAAATTTAATAAATGTTATCTTTGTATTTAAAAAAAATACAAATATTATTTATCTTCTTATTTTGTTTTGTTTTGATTTTCAAAGAAGCTTCCAGCTTTCAAAGAGCTTACCAGATTTTTTTTCAGTTCACTTTTGCAATAATACCTCCCAGAAATATATAGTTGTTTTTGTGGGAATGTAAATATGTTTTTGTTTGTGTTAGCTTGTTGATGTCAATTTCATTGCAACTGCATATCGCCTTGACAGGTGAACCATATTAACAAGTATAAGTATTCATATTTTTTCCTGCAATGACAGGGTAAAGTAAGGTATGTTTTTCCTATATTAACTTCATTATTGTGTTAATAAAAAGCTCAATAGCTAGCAAAAAAATTTAACAAATAGCTAATAACTTGTAAATAGTATTTAATACAATTTTTATCTTACCATAATATTATAAATGCATAATTTTTTAACATTAGCAAGTCACTACAAAATTGTTAAACAGATCGGGATAACAGCACATATAAAGAAGAACCTACAACATGTATTGCATTTAATACTGTATTGAGCTAATATTTTTTTACTGTAGAAGTAATATTAGAATCCATTCTTAGATTGAGTTTGTGGTCATCACCTGCTGGACGAAGTCCTCCACCATTGAATTTCTCTATGATCATAGATGTAGAAAAAGTACTAGCAAAAAATAGAAATACTATTCTTCATCTATAATAGATTTGTGAACAATTTAAAAGAGAAAAGAAAATAATACAGTGTGAAAGCTCCTGTTGGAGTTACTTCAAACTTCAAAATTGGTGGGTTTACCTTATACATTAATACACTTCTGTTGTTATAGCTCACAGTCCATTAACCGTCGAAAATGTGCCATTATAAATAAGCAGTACATTTAAATTTTATGTTGCTGAAATATCTAGGAAGTTGTTGTTTTATTATCTAGCACATGTTTTCTGTGACTGATTTACCATGGATTCTAAGAAGTTTTTTATTTTTATTTTAAGGCTATCACTGCACTTGTTAAATTATTATAATTGTAGTCCCCAATACATTTGACCACTGAATATTGCAAGTTAACGAATGTATATTTACAAGTAAATTTAATTAATTTATTACTAATATTATAAATGTGAATGTTTAGTTAGATGAAAGGATGTTTGTTTTAATGTATCTCCGGAACAGTTCAACGGATCTTGATGAAATTTTGCACAGATGTAGAACATATTCTGGAGAAGCACATAGGCTACTTATTAGGTTTATTTTAATTTAACGCGAATGGAATCGCGAGCGACATCTAGTATGTTCAATAAAAGCGAGAGTAAGAGAAAAGTAATACATACTGTATTAGAATAAATACTAGTCATCATAGAATAGAAAAATGATGTATTTAAATATTCACTCTACAATATGGCAAAAGTATCAGTGTCTTGAGCCATTTTTTGTAGAGTTTACACTGCATATAAAATATGGGCGATGTTTACTGATTGATATGATAATGGATATCTCTCAAGAAAAGTTCTGTAGTCACATTTATATACCATTAAAAATATGAAATAAAAAAAATGTGCAAATGATTAGTATAATATATAGTATGGTTTTGTTTATTCATAAAAAAATGTAATTAACAGTATTCAATGTAAATTTTAAAAACAATTGAACATTGACACTTTTTATTGTATTAGCCACTAACCAATGGGTATCGATTAGTAATGATTGATAAATTTACAGCAAATTTTTTGCAAGTGACCTGATTGTTTATTTGATACTGATATCATTCTCGAATTATCTGAAGTAGTTAGATAAAAGCATATTTGTTATCTTTCCTTTATTCTAAACAATAATATGATAGTGTTTTGTTTCTTAAGACATGGATTGTGCTTGAGATTGTGCTAATTTTTATATCATAATTATTTTCCTTGTCGTTTAGGTAGGTCACGTCCACCAGGACCTGAAACCGCATATGCTTTAACCGTTTAACAAATGCGTTGTATTTAAATACTGTCTTATGTACTCACTATTAAAGTCATTGTAGGGGGCAATTATTATAACATGTGAGATCTTTAGCAAAAATAATTCTTGTTACGACATCTCGGGCATTAATTTAGTTAATATTATGTTCAGCTTCCGTGGTTTTTAGAAAGATGAGTTTGTGAACGTGTGCGTTATATTCGTATGTAGTTACATGGTTGTGAAAGTGCGCGCTGTTTTAAAGCAATTTGTAGTCTTATAATTAAGCATTCATCAAACAATATAAGTTAATAGAACACATTTGTGTAGTGTGTTACCCAGTTAAAACGTTCAGTTCGCAATTGAAAAGTGAGTAACTATCATAATGGGTTAAGTAAGTTGTGCTTGTTCGATGAATTGTAAATATATCAGGGGCACTTAATCGTTAAACATTAACCTAGTGACTAAAACTAAGTGTGTAACATTCCTTTGTATATTAAAAAGTTCAAAATACCAAATATTTTATCAAGTGCCAACATCGTGAAATAATGCACGTACGGTCCAGGTTCTTTGATACCTTGGACTTGTCAATATACAAACAACGTCGCAACGTAAACTGCTACTTAATACGTTTATAGACCAATATTATTTATTTAAAACATTACCAATCCGTTACTTGCCTTAGAGATAAAATTTGCAAGACGCTTATCAGCTTACAAAGCTGTATCATATAACCGTCTATAATAGGGACCGACATATGTATGGATTCAATTAAGCTTCCTCTTGTGACAATCCTTATGAGATCATTGAGTGAACGGTGTAATTGCACTCTTCACTAGTAGCACGGCTTTGTGCCAATCACACCCCTATTGCCTTACGGTTAAGATCATAAATGCTTTAAGTTTCCAATGTGATGATGCTGGATTGAATTACCGCATCTTCCCCTTCGTTGTATTAAATACTTTACTTATTATTTTCAGTTAACTCGCATCTTTGTTAAAAACAATACTTATGTAATTTTAGGCGATGTTACGATTAATAAAAATTAAGTCATATTTGTCCTTGTAATTTAATATTAACAAAATTCAAATAAAACATTTAATAAATATTTTTCCTAAGTTGTTATCCACTTACCCGTAGACGCGTTTCTACTGCACTCTTAATTTTGAAAGAACCTTTGCTTGTTTAAAAAAATGTTTACTTACTGTGGTTGGCGTCACATAAAAGGAACACTTAATAAGCCATTTTTGTAGAATAATGTGACCAACATCGCTGCCTGTACCATATTAAGATACATGCAGGAAACTGGTTGTACACAGCCTTCGTCTTCTACGCACTATTATGCTTTTACAATAATGTTTTTCTTTTCAAATGATCTTGACACTAACCTTTATTGATGTTAATGTTATTTGCCTTTATGAGGAATAAATTATTGGATATTTTAATACGCATAGGTAGTAGTCAAAGGTAGTAGAAAATATAGTATTTGCTTAGAAGTTTTGGTGAAAGCCCGTTTTATTAAAGTAATGACATGTTCGTAAATCTTAGGTTTTACGGGAACATATCAGAGTTTACCGTAGTTTTGGATGTTACAATAACATAAACCAATGGCGTCTTTCTCTCTTTATATCCAGACTTTATTGGATGCAAAGACAAATGAAGGAAAAAATCATTTTACGTAAAGGCAATTTTTTTCAAATATCTATAAAAAAGTCAATTGGTGGTGCAAGTTTTACAATTATATAACGAAAACTTATTTTAGTTAGTACCGTTTACTTGTGTAATTCAAGTGTTTTATTTTGTTTGCAGGTATCAAGATGCTGCGAGCACAAGTAACACCTCCGGAGTGCGCTCTCGCCGCAGAAATGTTTGATCACTTTTGTTCGGCAGGCACCATGAAACAAATCTTGGCACTACATCGGGAAATATGTAACACGCTCAATCTAAAACCTAACAGGCTGCCCGACTTCTACCCTAAAATAAAGGTTCGTGGTTTGGTTATGTATAAACGCTTTGGTTATAGTGAAATCTCCGTATTCGCGGGGTTACGAATCGTAAATATGTTGTGAATACATAAAACGATACCAATTTTTTTGGCGCGAATACGGAATTTGTCGTATAATTCTTTTGCCTGCGAATTGTGAAATCGTGATAAACAGAACCGCAAATAAAGAGTCTACACTGTAATCTATAAAATGATACGATGATTAAATATACAGTATGTCTGTAGCTTAAATCGGACCTGAGTAATAAGAGTGTCTTAAGATTAAGATATACGAGTAATTTGATGAGTAATACGAAACTGCTAGCTCTAAAAAAACTAGTTTAAAATAATTCTTATGTTAAGTTAAGCATCGTTTCACTAAAATAATTATTTGTGGTAGACTTACGTCCAACGCGCCGGAACGGAGAGTAGTAGGAGAACATAAATCAGTGTGAAGCGTTTAAACACTCTCTCTTATTTGCATGATTTTGGCGCGTTGCCACAAAAAATCCGGATGGTCGGATGATTCCAGAGTTTTCATGGTTACTTGATAAACAACAGGTCTGGAGAGCAATACAATCCAAATATATGTGTCGAGTTTTATTTGAGAATAGACTAACCGTATCTACGCATATTTTGTAGGAAAATTTTATTGTATGAAATATTTCGACGCGAAAGTTCTAGTTCTAAGCATATTTTACTGCCACGGCGCGTTGCATGATGTTTTTTCTTAGTTATAAAACGATTTGATTCTTTAGAAATAACATTTTAGACCCATCAAACCGATATTTTAAAATTATATAAATAGGAAAATCTGAAATGAATTTTAGGATAACATAGTTATTGAAAAAAGGCAGAGATTAGGGATGAGTGGCGGCGGCTTGTAAAGCGAGTCACCGATACCAGATGACCAAGACCAGTCTGACAAGACTGCAGCGACGAATAAGAAGAATACTATTATAACATGATCAAACATGTCCAGCCTAAAAAAAATTAAAATCTATTTTTGTTTCTGATGTGTTCCCACACCTTCGGGACTAATTTTGATGAATATTTAGTTGGATGTTCTTAACACACCAAACAAGGTTAATGTCCTAAAAATTTGGGTAGGAAAATATAAATGCTTCCCTTTTAGAAATAATAGTTTAATAACGAATATTTTGATTACATAGATGTTTGTCCTTATACTTTGGCATTGCAAGGCACGCGCGTTGCGAACGATTATGCTATGATGAAATACTGTACTTACTTTCCATAAGAAAAAAAAACGAAAGTGAAAAGTAGAATATTATGATTCTATGCATTTACTGTAATATCCATGCTTAGGTTGCTTTTTTCTCGATTTCATAATTATTACTGCCAACAACTATACAAATTATATATTTTTTACATAGCAACGTGTCCATCAGAGATAAATTATATTTTGTAATAAATAAAAAGGGTCTTGACAGACGGACAGACAACAAAGTGATCCTACATGGGTTCCGTTTTTTACTTTCGAGGCACGGAACTCTAGAAAGAAAAATATTTGTACTTTGAAAAGTGAGGCTTCTTAGAGGTCGGCTCAATATTAACGATTGCTCGTTTAAGCAATTTTAATATCGATTAGGGTGAACATACTGAATTTTTTGTCGTATTTGCATTGCAACGCTATCTCTAATTGTTTCATGATGACGTGATGTTTATCAGTTGCGATAATGCTCGCCCTGGCCGATTGTTATTTTGTTAAGCGAACCTTAATTTTTTTTTGCTTTTGCTTACTATGTCTAAAGCTTGCGTATTTTAAATAGGGTATCGCAAATTGGTGCCGAAATGTACATTGAACATATTCAATGAATAATTTCTCTGTATTATGCTCCCCAACTACTGGACGGACGTTTGTGAATTTTCGTCTTAAATTTTTTTTTTTAAATTCTGTCACTTTTTATGAATCTTTTTGCAAAAAATGTCAGAATTATTTGGCTTTGTATACTATGCTATGCTGTCTGTGATTTACCCAAACTTTGCTTTAATCAACCTTCTGTTTCCTACTTAAGCTAAGCGACGCTCTTGCAAATTATGTGCCAGATATTTTTGGGATCATTTTATTGGCATCACATAGAAGTAAACGTAGTGTAATATTATCCGGCATATTATAGACTAATAGAAAGTCCTGAACTGTACTACTGTGCTACCCTTGCGGACTAAACAGTCCCTTAGTTCGTTTTCTCTATTGCAATACAAATATTTTGTTACAAGAAGGCAGAAAACGAATAAGGACGATATCTGATGTTTAAGTGATTATCGCTATGTTGCCTGTATTCAATAGAGTACAAGGATTGAATAGAATAGTCTACTTCCTTCACGCCTTTCTTCTGAGGGGTCATAATATTTACCGGCGTATTCGAGAACATGTCTTGTTGCCGGCTCAGGCTCTCTTTCTATACAATTCATATAATGTTAATGTCTGTATGTAATATTGAAAAATCATATTTCATGCACATGATATGTTTGCGCTACTGAAACGAAAATGCAATGTTTATATTTGTTGTGTCTGTCCGCAAGTTCGCGTTTGTTCCGAATAATCTCCGAAACAGTTGGGCCGTTTTTGACGAGACTTACTGGAAGGTAGCTTACGTGTGCGGTAGTAACATAAAACGATTTTTTTATTGTTATACTGCGCTGGCAATGTCTGTGTCTAGCCTATACTGTAAGGACTGCTACAGGCTAACCTCCTTTTGTAAATATCGTCTTAATAGAATCGATTTCATTATACGATTATAATGTCCTAACCAGTGGTGAAGATCTATTTTTGACTGTTTTAAGTTTTTTACGACTCTAGTTTCCTGTTACAATGGGACAAGTGTATAGCAATCGTTATTTTGATTAGCTACGAAATATATTGATTAATGTTTATTTTATAAATTTTTTGTAATCATACATTGCGCAGGCGAAACTGGCAAATTCATGGAAGGCTCAAGCTCTGTTCAAGAAATTCGATCTCCGAGCGAATCACAAGGTGTACGGCAAGGGCAGGATATGCGCGCAGACCAAAGTTCTCATCATCGGCGCTGGGCCGTGCGGTTTACGAGTGGCCATTGAATGCCAACTTTTAGGCGCCAAAGTGGTAATATATCCAATATTGTTTACTACTCTACACCGTTTTAGGATAGGTTTTATCGTTTCATATTATTATGCATAATCCATTAAATTATACTTTGTAAGATTTATTTATATTATCTTACATCTTACTTATATGTGAATGTTTAGATGGATGGATGGATGATTGTTTGAAACCATCTTCGGAACGGTTTAATGGATCCGTTGAAATTTTGCATAGATATAGAACATCTCTGGAGAAATACGTAGGCTAACTATTAAGTTTTTTTTAATTCCGCGTGGACAGTGTCGCGGGTGACAGTAATAATAAAAAGGATGGGATTCTTTAATATGTATCATGTGAAAACAAGGAAGTTTGGTTCAATAAACAGTTTTTTTTCTCATTGGCATGCAAACGTACAACAATGTGCTTCCAAGAGTAGTCCGATTGCTGACTCAAATTATGTTTATGGTTTAACAGGTCGTTGTTGAAAAGCGCGATCGTATGTCACGTAATAATGTACTGCATCTGTGGCCGTTCGTCATACAAGATCTGCGCGCGCTGGGCGCTAAGAAATTCTTCGGAAAATTTTGCGCCGGTTCCATAGATCACATCAGCATACGACAATTGCAATGCATTCTTATGAAGGTATGTAAGAAAATTAAAAATTACCTCTTTTTTCTATCTATAGCAACAAATATTTTTGTCAATTATATTAAGAGTGGTTTCAATGTTCAATATTGTATTGGTTTACAGGTAGCGTTACTTCTTGGCGTAGAATTACACGAAGGTGTCAGTTTTGAGGAGTTACTGGAGCCAACTGTCGGACGTCACGGCGAGAGTAAGTTTAAAAAATTTGATTCCTGAAGCAACAGAGTGGTTTTACAAGACGGGCTACATTGTACTGAGTGGCTATTACCTTGGGGGTAGATCCCTGTCTAGCCAGTTCATTTATATCATAACTAGCAGACGCCCGCGACTACGTCTACAGAAACTAAAAAACTCAATTAGTAGCCTATGTGTTCTTCCAGACTACGTTCTATATGTATGCCAAATTTTATCGAGATCCGTTAAGCTGTTCTGCAAATACATTTAAACAAAGAATCGTCCATCCAAACATTAGCATTTATAATATTAGTAAAATAGATGCATCATAGTATAGTTAAATGGTATTACAGGGTTGGGTTGGAGGGCGCGGGTATCACCGGCCGAGCACCCAGTGTCGCAGTACGAGTTCGATGCCCTGGTGGGTGCGGACGGCAAGCGCAACACACTACCCGGCTTCAAGCGCAAGGAGTTCCGTGGCAAGCTCGCTATGGCGATCACTGCAAACTTCATCAATAGACACACAGAACAAGAAGCATCGGTAAACACAATTTACACCACCTTTTTTATTAAATTAAAAAAAATTAGGATGACCAAATACGAACCTGTAATCTTTGCCGAATTCTATAGGCTATGTGAGTCTGAGTGATATACATAGATTAATTCGTTATTGCTATTAAAAATCATGGAACTTCTAATAATCTTTGACGATAATTCTATTGCTCAAGCTGCATCTTTAGTCTTCTTATGTTTTTTTTTATGGTTGAGAAGCTATTTTTAATTGCCATATTAAATAATGTTGGATTTGCTTCTACTGGATTAATGGAACTCTTCAAACTTCATACGTTCATAAATATTTAGTGATAGTTCATTTTTTAAATAGATTTATAACAAGTTTTTATTAACATTCACTATCTTATTTTTCAGGTACCGGAAATAAGCGGGGTTGCCTTCATTTTCAATCAGAAATTTTTCAAAAAACTATTCGAAGTAACCGGAATCGATCTTGAGAACATCGTGTATTACAAAGACGACACGCACTATTTCGTCATGACGGCGAAAAAACACAGTCTTTTGAACAAAGGAGTATTATTAAATGTAAGCTAAAAAAACATTAAATACTTATTAAAAATGCAATCTGCACCAATAACGTAAAAAGAAAAATATTCTTTTACCAAACTGAAAAAGAGGTTAATGTTTTCGCGCTCATGTAAGTTTGTAATTTTTTTGACGAATCTGTTTTAAAGTTTTAAAATCTTTGTATTAAAACGCAGGCAATAGATGGCGCTATTTCATCTATAAGTGCTTCAGCAAGCCGGATTTTCTTTTGTTTTTTTTACATTTTAAACTTATTGTTAGGTTATTAATTTATAATTTACAAACTATAACTGTTTCGTTGACTTGTCACGTGTGCAGATTCCTCATGATATTCTGGTTCATTGTAAGATTGATTTCAGGATTACGCAGAAGTATCTCGCTTGTTGAGCGTAGAGAACGTGGATCGCACCGCTCTGATGAAATACGCCCAAGAGGCTGCACGCTTCTCTACCTGCGGTCTGCTGCCCCTCGTAGACTTCGCCCTGAATCACTACGGGGAGCCTGATGTCGCACTATTCGATTTCACCTCCATGTATGCTGCTGAGAATGCCAGTATTGTAAGTAATAATTTTAATTTAAAATTTTAATCGGCAATACAATCTAAATCATATCACCTTTTAAAATATCGTCCCACAAGAATCCTATGCCAGTTTTTTATCTTGAAAAGAAAACGCTTACAAATTACAAGCAAAAATTCCCTATCTTCTGATAGTCGTCCATGTTCAACTCATAGCAATTAATTTACAACTTATGACCTAAGTTATCGCAATTCCTTACTATTTAAGTGAATATATTCAAAAACATAAGCAAAATTAACCTATATGTAAAAATATGATGTGTGATGCTTTTATGCAATTTTAAAATTATGAAAATGCCAACATTAAACCGTGCAGCTATTGCTCCATTTTGGTCAAAATACGATGTTGTTAAAATAACATTGTTCGTATATTTTCCGACTGTCACAAGATCCTTGTGGAACTATAATAGACAGTAGTAAAAAGGTAAAAAAAAAAACAAATTTCCAGGTGTACGAGCGTCAAGGGAAACGACTTCTTTGTCAACTGGTAGGCGATAGTTTACTGGAGCCATTTTGGCCGACTGGGTCCGGCTGCGCTCGGGGCTTCCTGTCTGCGTTGGATGCCGCGTGGGCCGTGCGCTCGTGGGGACAAATTCCAGCCCCACATCCCTTGGAAGTGATAGCAGAGAGGGAATCAATATATCGACTATTAGGTAATTTAAATATACTACACTACGTCATTAATAAAAAAAAACTAAATCCCTATCTGTCGTCCAAAACTCCGAAACAAAATAGAGTTTATAACTCAGAGAAAAGTTAATATTTCTCTTCTTTTTTATGTCTCTCATACAGTTTCAGATCTTATTAGTATTAGATTTAGATCATGATGGAAACATTATAATATAGTAATTAAGTAAATTTAATCATTAATTCTAAATGTTACAGCACAAACGACGCCTGAGAACTTACACCGTGACTTTGGTGCGTACACACTGGACCCCGGCACGCGGTACCCCAACTTGAATAGAACCGCGGTAACTCCACATCGCGTTACCTCCTTCTATGACTGTGATGAAGCTGTGCAGTTGGACGCCGCCATCGGCACCAGGAAGCGACGTCGCGGTGAGTATTTTATAATAATAAATGAGTTTTAGTGATGGTGGAAAATACGATGTAAAAAAAGTTAAAAAGAAAATAAATGAATCGAAATATTCGTTCTACAAATATGATGATCCAGTCCTTTTCAACCGAATGTACAAAAATTTATATGAAACCTTTTTGATATCTAAAATTCACTGTAAAAATGTATTTAATCAGTGATTATAATATTTCAGAGATGGATATATCTGAGGGGGCGTTGATATCGTGGGTGGGATGCGCGGAGGCGGATCTAGCGAGTGCGGTGGGTGCGCAGGCGCTTGCCGACCTTGTGCGCCGCTATCGACCCGATCTCATGCCGCCCAGCGCACCGCCCAATGCCGTCTATCATGTTTTACAACAAGAGTTTGGTAAGAGTAACTTAGGAGGAGTTACTCACTAAAAATACTTATCTTTTTTATTGGATAAAGGTGGTAATTAAGCGGGCGGACCACCTAATTTTAAATGATCCGACACCCATGGACATCCCTAACACCATTGGAACCTCAGATTCGCTGCATTTGTAGTTGAGTACTTTATTCATATGTGAATTAAAATTAATGTTTGTCTATTTTTAGAGATTCGGGATGTAAAGTATGGACAATGCTTTATGATGTAATAGTCTCAAATTTACTAGAATTATCTGAAAGATTTTTTACTTTAAATACTTGTGAAGAAAGGTACTATTTTTAAATGTTTACTCAAATGAAATGTATTTTTCCGTAGGCATTACGCCGTTTTCTTCTACTGGTGCGGCGTACGAAGTTCCCGAAGCGAAACTACGCTCGTATTTAGCTCGTGTTTACCTCGCGTTCAAAGGCGAAGTGCCCCATGTACATCACAAATATGATGTCTTTGAACAGGTCCTACAATATTGCATTAATTTCTTTATTTGCATACAGTACAGGCATGAAAACTAGTCTGCAAAGTGATTTGTGTACCTATATCCAAACAAATATGATTCAACTTATATTTTTTTTTCAACGAACAATTATTTAAAGTGTTAATTATTATCTTTTTGTCTGTATCTAAATTCACCTTAAAAGAATTCTTAGTTTTTTCTTAGCCTTCCTAATATTTGAATGTATTTGTTGTTTATTTAACAAATAAATATATTTATTGACACCCTTTACATATACTCTGTGATACCTTTTAATCTCCCGCTAGTTTTAATAATGTCAGCTTTCTTTTTAGATCAAAAAAAGCCAACAGAAAGAGAAGCATGCCCGAAATACGACGGACCATTCGGTTTCTGTATATTCGAGTAAGTAGTGTAAATAATTAATGACAAGTCGTATTTGCATTTTATTTAATAGTGATTGTATTTATTGGCACGTTCTAGAAACTTCTTACATTTCATCTTCATGATTATCAAATGCATCTTTTAGATCTTCCTCGATTATACAAATTTTAGATACTGTTATAACATTATAACCTTTGGAAAATCCATCTAACAAAAATCAAGATAAAAAAGATATTATACTGTATTGATTATCTTTTTATATGTTTTTATTATTTAACAGATGCAGCCGATCTCGATAAATCTACCTTAAGCTCCAGAAAAAAACGCCGCTCCACACGCTCATCCCAAGTAAGTAACGATCCCGCAGAATATATTAGAAAAAAGATTGGCAAATTAGATCTTAACGATATCACACAATTAGCACGACTTATAGAAGGCCACGATGATATAAAAAACGAAATCGATCACTCAGAGAAACAAAAAGATATACAGGAGCAAATACTAGCATTATTCGACACTGAAGATTCTGTAGATCCCAGAATGGTAAGAGATTCCCTCGTCCAACTACTCCAAGGTAATACGAATACTCGAATAAAACAAAAGGGATCCAAACAACCCAATTTAAATGACTTCTTCCAAGAAAAAGGAGCAGAGTCAAAACCCTCAAAACCTCGTCGAAAACTAAAAGGCTTAGCCAGCGACACTATCAAAGTACCTGACTTCTCAGACATATTTAAAGATGATTCTGCAGATACTGATACGACTGCTGTAAATGTAGAACAATCAAAGAAGAAAGACTTGATTCGGTCTTGTTCGACGGAGAATGAAAGCAACCAAAAATGTACGCGATCTGCGTCCGTTGAAAGTAGCATACCCCAAACAAGACGAATGTCGGAAATCATCGATCTTAATAGAAAGAGATATTCACCAAGCCCCGAAATGCCTTTGTCAACTCGCTCGAATTCCATTGGCAGTTTAGAAAGCTCGTATAATAAAAAAAGAATAGCTGAAATTTTTGATGCCCGAAAAGGTAGACACACGGCTAGTCCAGAAGCTCGGTCTGTCCGTTCAGGTTCCAGCGGCAACAAAGAGATGGCGCTGAGATTGCAGAGAATGACTGATATCATAGAAGGTAAACGTCGTGACACGCCAAGTCCTGATCGTACCAAAAGACTGGAGTCTATCGGCAACCCAGAGATGGCTTTACGGAGGCAAAAAGTCGCCGATCTCATTCAAGGTATTAAGCCCAGAGAAAGTCCTGAACCGCCGCAAAGAAGGAACTCTGGTGATATGGCCTTTAGAATGCAAAGAGTATCTGATATGATGGAAAAGAGAAATGCTCAAGCAAAAGTACCAAAAAGTGTCGGAAGAAGGAAAGCCGCTCGTGAAATAATGAAACAGCGATTCGAAAAGAGTTTACAAATGTTAGCAGCGGAGCCCAGGCTGGACTTTGCCCCATCCGCAGATCTGGAACACGACTATGGTCTTCAACAGTACAGAGCCAGCGCGCCGCACTTCGACGAGCGCGTTAAGAAGCTAGAGAAACAGTTGCAGCATTATGTGAGAAGCGTGTGCCCCATTGTGTGCCATTGTGTGCTTGCATGATGACACTAACCACTCCCTATCTTTTGGAATCAGATCTCTCAGATCTTTACAATTCAATTCAACACTAATTTGTTGACGATGTTGATGTCAAAGCTTTAGAATAACTTGCAAAAACATTTTTAGTAAAAATGTTAATGTATAATATGCAATATACGAAGCTGAAACTACTCGACTGTACATTGTACATGTAATTTTAACAATTTGAACTTTATGAAAAGTCGGTGTTTGCATGAATTAATTAATAATTACGTGATAATTAGGAGTATTTAGTGCTGTTAAGAAACTTTATTATAATAGTTTATACACATCATACTTCTGAAATGATAAAATACAATATACGAAATGCACTAAAAATAAAAGAAAACTATAATATTAACGATATGTTTAATAGCACGATTTGAATTAACATGTTTGATATTTTTTGTATTTACTTGTTGTTACAATATTTCACCTCTTAATTGCAATTAAGAAGGAGATTGTATTGATAATCGTTAAAATAAACTTACTATTTTAATGTGCTTGTAGGAAGAGGGACGAGTGGTGGGAGGAGGGAGGGCTGTCGGCGGTGGTGCTCACGTGGCTCGCCTGGCTGCGGAGCTCTCCCACGCCAACCCCTCCACTGCAACGCCTAAAGCAACCAAACCCAAAGATTTGATAAGATCTGTTGGAAAAATTGAGAAAGACGATTGGAACGTTAAGGAAATTGAGAAAAAGATCATGGAAAATCGCCTCGGTAGACCTGAACCGAAAGCTGCTGAGAAAGTTCCGAAATGGGATAGAGAAGAAGTGAGTTTTACACATTACTGTTACTACCATATACTATTTAGGTGCGCCATACACACTGCTTTAACAAGTATAGTTATATTCAATAGTGTTTCATCTGCTAAACTGTCTAAATAACTCCATAGTAATGATATCCTCATAGATTTTTAACCTATAAAAACCTTATGGGGAGTACAGAATAGAGGCCCTCATTGGCCATTTATTAGAGTTAATTCTCTCTATGTTACAATACAAAATTACATTACGAAAATAGACTCGCGTTTAGACAATATTTATGAAACTCCATGTTTTATATCTTTTAATATTCAATACTTTTTATGGGTAACATACCTGTTAAGTCTTTTGTATTAAATACTCATAATTAACTTTAAATTCAAACTAATGAAGCTATCTTTGGTTTATATACAAGTGAATTTAGTAATCATAATAAAAAATGTATTCTTCAACAGTTTCTTAAACGGCAACGTCGCTTGAAAGAAGGTGAACAGTATGATGAGAAATGGGAAGATATTGATGAAACCATCAACAAATTTAACCAGAAGGTGAAAGATTCGGGTCGTCCTGAACAAGGCAATAAAAGGGTAAGTGTATTTAATATACAGTGTGTTTTAAATAAGCATTCGTCTAGTGATTGACAGGTTGATGTTACGCAACAAATTTCGCTACAGCATTTAACTAAATTTTTCATTGTTCAATACAAATATGTATACTTTTTTATTCCACAGGTTGCCAGTTTAGCAACAAAGTTTGTGAAAAAAGAGGAGCCGGATACTGATAAAGCAGAATCAAAAGATACGGTTAGTATTAACATAACAAAATGATACAAAAACACACAAATATGTTATTTGCGGCTTTTTGTCGACAACAATGATAAATTGAACATTTTTCGCTGAAACTCTGCTAATATATTTGAACATTGAAGTGAAATATGTATAAAATTTTAATTTGAATGTAGCAAAGCAAGCGAAGTTGGCGCGGTCCCTCGGCGCCGGGCATCCAGTGCGTGGCTTGCGGCAGGCGAGTCTTCGCTGCAGAAGGCGTTGTTGCGGATGGCCTGCATCTACACAGGTCCTGCTTCCGATGCGCTGTCTGCTCCACAGTCTTAAGGCCTGGGTAACATCTTATTATAATGTTTATAATAGTAATATTTAAAAACAGTGGTCAAATATACCATATAATTCAAGTGAATATCATTTTCTTGCAATCTCATTGTAAATTACTTTTTTAAATACGTCAATTCTTGTGTTATTATTTCAGAAACTATGCTATGGAGCGGTACGGCAATCGTTTAGTGTGTTTGCGGCACGCTGGTGTCTCAGTTCCCGATACGGTAGGCGGAGCTGAGAGTACGAATGTGATGACACAGCCGTCAAAATCTCAAGCTGTCCTCTCTACTCCTGAGCGAATCAGTCTTGAGCTATCAGACGGTGCTGCGAGAGAAATTGACGAAGATGAATGGACCGACAGGAACTGTCTTGCATCAGAAACATCTGCTGCCGGTGGTCTTAGGTATGTTTTATTATTAAATGTATTATATAATACATAGCAATCCAACATTGACTACCAGAGCACTGATTTGGGATATTTTAAATCAAAATCAGCATCATATATGCCGAGGCTGCGTGAAAGGTTTTCTGGAAAGAAATTATCTCATATTTATTTCATGTTTAACAGTGTATAAGATAAGTGTTGTTTTATCAGACTGCCAGGAGAAAGAAAAACAATATGTAGTTTAACCCGTCAGGTTTTATTAAAAAAAATAAAGAAAGGTAGCTTAGAATGACGTATCGAAATTTGACAGAAGACAGCCCACTGTTGACGCTAGCGTTTCACGTTGTCTTGTTCCTTCGGTTCCCTTTCATTTTATTTTTTATTTATCAGCGACGAAAAGGCTTCATCCGATGAATGGACAGACGTGGAGAGCGACGGAGAAGAGGAGGCGCGGGCGCTGCATTCCCCGCGGCCGTCGCGCGATCCCGTGAACATACATGATCCGTCTGATCTCGCCTTTTATTCTTTTCTATCAGACGATTCTTTTGGCTACGACGATAATTCTGATGAAGGTTAGTATATTCTTTTTGTGACCCAATTCACAACAGGGTATCCGTTCTAACATGTCTATAGTCTGAAGGGTTTGCACATACGAGCAATATATTATATTATAATACATTTCTTGCTTTTGTAATATGAAAATTAATTCTGACGTAATAAACATACTTATATCTTACTATTATTATAAATACAAATGTTTGGTTGGACGTTTGTTACTACATATGTCCAGAACGGCAGCATGGAACTTGATGTAAATAGGTATAGATGTAGAATACAGTCTGGATGAACACATAGGCTACATATGATCCTGGAAACATGTACAGATCCCGTAGGATAAGTTTAGAACATAGTGTCCAATAACACAAAGTAGTATCCATACTGTTAATTCCGCGAAGAAGAAATCTCCGGAAAGGGCTAGTGAAATAGTGTAAGAAGAGTGAGATAGATGCCTCTAGCTTTGGGATTATATGTTTTCAGGTGCGGAGTCATCTGGCAACGAGTCGTGTTCGCGCATGCGCGAGGCGCGTGAGGCGCGGCGGCGTGAGGTGCCGGCGGACAAACGCCCGCCCACCGACAGCAGCGAGGTATCGCGCTGCGTTGTAGCCTAGCGTCGAGTAGCCCGGGAGGTGCGCGTGCGACGCCTCCCGCACGCATCCGTCACCCCAACCAAAATTCATCACCACGCTATACCACTTTCGTTATGGACTTCTCGTTTTACCAACTCGCGTCTTCATACCCTAACTATTCGCATACAAATGCCAATAATTTTATAAAACTATGATCATTATCATTGGCAACAAGACCTAATTCTTATTTCCAATGTTAATGTTTATGCAATCATGAATGGAGAAGTTTTTTAAAAAGATAAAATAAGTCGTAATAGTACTTTTTAAAAAACAAGGCATATTTTTCCTTATGGTACGCTTGTTTTCGTAGTGTTCATATTAATTCCCTTTATTTTTTAAATATTTTTAATTTTCTTTTTATTAGTATTTTAGCAAGTCTTCCCTGACACTCGTGCGCCGACAATGACACTGATTTTATATTAAAAATAAGATTGGAACATTTTTAATATGTGTTACAATACTTTAGAATAATTTGGCAATTTAGATCTCGACGCAAATTGCATGGCAATACATATTATTGATGTCGAATTTGGGTCATGCAAATTCAAAATCCAATAACTTGTATATTTCAAATATTTTAAATTAACTGATTTTTAAAATTAATTATATGGAAACTTCTTCATTTTATACTAATTGTTTTATACTTTATCTACTTTGTGACATTTAGGCCTTTCTTCATTATAATTACAATTTTTTACATCATAAATGTCAATGTATATAATCAAGGGTGACGGAGGGAGGTGTTAATAGAGTGTTTCCCGCAAACTAATGTCCCTTTGAGTAAGCTTCGTGTTCCAATGTGTAGCTTCAAGAGTTTTTATTTAACAAAACTAATTGTTACTTTGATGTTAAAATTCATTTATCAAAAGCATGCCATTGTCGAATCTCGTAAAATTTTAGCTTTATTTGAAAAGTAAATTAAGAGGAAAACTTTTTTTTTAATATTAGGCACATCTTTGTCAACGCCGAAATTGACTACACACGCATCTTTGATTTTTTTTCGCAGATAATGTGTTTCATCGTGTTGTTTTACTTTACTGTAAAATATAAGACATTTGATTAAATATGGTTGTAACAGGTGGAGTCTGAAGATGAGAGTGAATCAAGCGATGATGAGGTATCCTCGGCAACGGAAGTATCAACAGATAGTGAGTTTGCACGCGAAGAATGCGCTCCGGCGCCCTCTCCTCCTGCTATTCTTGTGACAGAAGCACCACCGCCGGCTCCACCTCCTCCTCAAGAATACCCCCTCAGCAGAACTCGATCAGCTGGTGGGTTGGCCACTAAACGTGCCTTAGAGTTAAAAAGGAGGTATTTGTTAGGAGAACCATCACCGCCGGCGGTTAGGAAATCAGACTCTACTTCTCAGTTAGATACTAAACTTGAAGCTTTTCGATCAAACATAACCGAATTTCAAAAAATGTTACACCCTGCCCCCGTACCAACATCTCAAGTCCAACCTCAGAAACCAATTGTTACTTTTCGTTTGACTGAGGAAACGCAAAACAAAATTCAACCTATGCCAGATATAATCAAGAACTTACATACCGATGCCCCAGTTGACTTGCTTACAAAAGGTGATTTGCCACTATGTAAAAATGATTGGAGGGAACCAATAAATGAAGATAAAAGGGAACCTGATCTGGATTCTGATTCTTTATCCGATGATGATGCTTCTAATACAGAGACGGCTCCAAACCAACCGGTCCCTCGGGTGGAAGTCCACGACGAAGGCGGAGAATTAATACAACTTGATAGCTTAATGATTATAAATACTGAGATTGATGATATTAATGAAAAAATATCTACTACAGCTGTATCGGTGGAACCTACAATAATTGCTGCTGAATCAGAATCTTCAGAATCTTGTCGTGATGTTACCACTCTTGCATTGACTGAAACAGAACTGTCAGATTGGGCGGCTGAAAGTGCAGTGTTAGATGATTGTGGTATAGACGACAAAGAAAATAAAAGAAAGCAAAACCCTAGGACATTAAGTGGTCCAAAATTAGTACACGATGCTAAAAATATTGCAGCTATTAGTTCACATGTTTGCGGTCGAAGTAGTCCTTTAGATAAAATTGTATATTCTAATGCTCTCGAACATTTCGAGTTTGCTGACGAAGGCGACCAAGATCCTTCGATTGGTTCGCCGGTTACACCACGGAATGAAGGCTATATGGAATTAGTTGACGATAAGGTAGAGGTCGAACCATACTACCCAAATAACGATCGATCAATGAACTTTTTTGAACAAGCTTTTACAGAAAGACTATTTAAACCTACGGGTATTGACATTTGTAGAGAAAACTTGAGAAATGATTATTCTGATGTCATTGAATTTATAGATAAAGATGACTCACAAGAAGACAGCGTGCCAAAAGAGCAAAACTCTTCTAACACTACTGAACCAGCACAAATTGAAATTAGCGAGAAATCTAGTACTGAAAATACCACGCTTAGCTTACAACAGAATACAGAGAAAACTAAAACAGCTGAAGATAGCACACCTACTAGCAATAAAGAATTAAATACAGTACTTAGTGACGTTGCATCTATTAGTTTATCGGAAGTATCGTCTGCTTTAGATAAAATTCATTCAGAGGCAGAAAAAGCTAACAGTTCGGTTTCAAAGAACTCAGTAGACGATATATCACCACCATTAGCTCAAGACTTTAGTCTTTCCCGAGATACTATATACAATGGTAGCATGAACACGCCTGTATCATATGGCTCTAGTAATACTATACGATTGTATTCACCCGCAATATGCCGATCAGTCACAGTACCATTCAGTAGTTCTATTACAAGAAGTGGTAACTCCGACTCACCATGCCGTAGCATCGATTTGTCAATATCTGCTAACATTAGTTCAGGCTCACTATCGCCTGTCAGTCCTTCGCCTCTGCGAGACACAACTGTTAAAGTACAGGAAATAAAAAGGGAAAGGGACGAACTTAACGATATAGTAAGGGGATTAGTGCTAGGAAGAGTAAGGAGTGGTCCCCGGGAAGGGAAGAAGTCGTCTCGCAGAACTAGAGTCTCACCCGCTTCTAACATACCGCCACCGATCCCTCCGCCGCCTGTGCTGCCCGAGCAACCCTCTTCGCCACCGCCCCCTCCCCCACCTCCACCCACCTACAACTCACCTCCCCTGAGGCCGATGCCGCCTCAAATGTCTTTATCTGTCTCACCATCGCTGTCTGACCCAGAATTGGCAACAGAAAGAAGGAGAAAAGGTATCATGAAGAGCATTTCCAATTACTTGAATCGACGTCTTGGACCTCGCCATAAGGTAATTTTTTATTTCACTTTCTTTACAATCAAAATAATACATTTCTCTTATACATCAACGATACTAAAAACAATTGTGAATATTGTACATACAAATAGGAAGTTCATAAAATTAAAATTGGAGAAGGCTTGTATTATTTATAGTTTTAGTTCGGGTGTCCACTATTTGGCGGACAAAATTTTGTCACGGAAAGGGATGATAACGTTTTTGGCACAATTAATTTCAAAATTGACGTTTTTAAGGACACCCTGAGTAGACTAACCCTAGTTGAATTTTCAGTGGGTCTCGGAGCCGGACCTGATGTCGCACGTAAGCAAAGCATATCAAATACAGTATCGTGAACTCGTGAGTCGCATGCTGTACCCATCTCTATTGCACCATTCATCTGCTCATTGTACGTTGTCTAGTCTCGCTCGGACACGGTTGTTCTCTGCTTTTGCTATTTGTTCTGTTAGCAACTTGACGTTGGATCTTACTGAAATATGGATGAATATAAAGGATACACTTATTGATAAATTACAATAATATTTCTCATTAAAAAATCAGTTTAGTATCACAGTAGATACAACGTCAATATTGTATAATTCATTATTCATGTTTCCTTTTTGAAGGTATGAGAATTTCCGTATAGATTGTTATCTACGTAATGGTATTTACGCTGGCTCAACTATAGTGTGCATGTTTGTATGGCTTCTATGCAAAAATATATAAATCTACGCTTATAGAAAACTTGGCAGATAATCCTATATTTAGAATAATTTTATTTCTTTCAACAAGTATTGCTAAAATTCTATTTTAGATATTTTATTGTCATAAATAATGCAAAAAACAATGTAATTAATAATGTTATGTTTTGAAACTTCAAAATTCGTCTTAATACATAACAATCAAAACGTAGTGACAAGTATTTTTATATATAACTTTACAAACTGCCAATTAACGTCTTTTGTTTTGATCTGTCTTAACTGTTGCAATCTATAGTTTCCTTTCCATGGGCCTTGAAATATAGTAGATGCTAGATTTATCAATAGATCGTTGGATATTACAGGGCAGCCGGCACGTCAGTCAGTCAGCGAGCGCTGCGCACAAATCGACGGGGACACTGCAGGAGGCGCCGCCCGTGC